GAGGGGGGGAAAATGCACAGGAAGGGGGGAAAATGCACAGGGAGGGGGGAAAAGTGCAAAGGGAGAGGGAAAAGTGCAAAGGGAGGAGGCAAAATGCACAGGTAGGAGGGGAAAGTGCACAGGGAGAGGGAAAAATGCACAGGGAGGAGGTAAAAGTGCACAGAGAGGGGGTAAAAGTGCAAAGTGCACAGAGAGGGGATAAAAGTGCACAGGGAAGAGGGAAAAGTGCAAAGGGAAAAGGTAAAAGTGCACAGGGAGAGGGAAAAATGCACAGGGAGGGGGTTAAAGTGACAGGTAGGAGGTAAAAGTGCAAAGGGAGGGGGTAAAAGTGCACAGGGAAGAGGGAAAAGTGCAAAGGGGAGAGTGAAAAGTGCACAGGGAGGAGGTAAAATGCACAGGGAAGAGGGAAAAGTGCAAAGGGAGGAGGTGAAAGTGGGGCTGGGACAGGCAAAATCTTCATTTCGTACCAGGGATCAGTGACACAAAGGATCCAGCTCCAAGCAGCACAACACAACAGGGATGGAGTTTTGTACATCTGAGTGCAGATCCAGGCCTGGAATGAGGAATAATCCAGCATTTCTGGAGTGGAACATGAAATTCCTCTCTGGAATTTAATTCCTCTCTTCAGCTGAGGCAGGGAATAGCAAGGCAGAGAGAGAGGGGCTGCAGGGACGGGGCAGAAACAGGACAGAAACAGCCCCAGCACAGCACAGGACAGAAAGGTGATTAGTACAGGGTGTTAATCACCTTCTCCAGCCCCAGCTCATGGATCCAGGTAAGGAACTAATGCAGGGCAAGTTGCTGCAGCTGTGGCAGATAAATTGAGTTCAGACAAAAAATGCTGGAATAAAAAAAAGGAATAAAAAAATGGAATAAAAAATATTCCTTAGGATGTCCCAGATAACCACTGCATCTTCAGCACAGGGGGTTTTGGGGTTTTTTGGGGCCACATTAATGAAAGATGCAATTGGATAATTACAAACCCAGATATTCCATACACTGGACTGTTCACATCCTCTTCCACAGCTGTGAAAGGGACAAGATGATTTTTATTACACCACAAAATTTTTATCTTTGCACATCAATCGTGTTCTTTGTCCATCCAAGAACCGCTCAGGAAGAGGAGGCGCTTTTCAATTTATACTTTTAAAGCTCCTTAAATTGTGATTTTCTGAAAGGGTTTTGGGGGGATAAAGCTCCTTCACTGCTGCCATTTCCTCCTCTCCCTGCACAGAATTCCCATTTCCAACGCTGCCCCCCACTCTGCCCCCTCCAAGGACCAAAACCAAGACAGTGTCTGAGGGCAGGAACGTCACCTTCCGCTGCGGGCAGAAAATCATCCACAAAAAAGGCAAAGTCCAGTAAGTGCTGTCCTCATCCAGGCCCTAGGAAACTGCAGGTGCCAAAAAATCCAGGAGGAAAAATCAGAAAAAAGGGTGAAGAAGAATGGAGTTTATAATCTGGAGCTCAAGGAGGATAAAATCCAATATATATATATTTATTTCTTTATATAAATATAAATATATATATTTTATATATAGCACAAAGCTAATTCCTACTATCAAACTGAATTCCCTGGCTTGAATATTTATATTCTTTAAATTCTGCAAAATAGTTATTAAAATGTTATATATATATATATATAATATAAATAATATAATTATATAATATATAGTATAATAAATATCTATAAATATAATACCAATAAATGTATAGTAATAGAAATAGATATAGACATAATAATTATGTCTATATATATACTATATATTATAATATAAAACTGAATTCCCTGGCTTGAATATTTATATTCTTTAAATTCTGCAAAAGTTATTAAAATGTTATATATATATATAAAATATATAGTATAATAAATATCTATAAATATAATAACAATAAATGTATAGTAATAGAAATAGATATAGACATAATAATGATATACTACATATTTTATATATTTTATACGTATTTATATTTTTATAATTTTATTTTTAGTATTTTAATATTTCTACAATTTTCTAATTTTTAAAATATTAATATTTATATTCTTTATATTCTGAAAAACCTGTAAAATTGAAGTTTACCCTTTCAGGTTTTAATTAGTTGGTTGTTACTGAAGTATGAACAGGTTGTGGATGGATCTAAAATTTAGGTTGGCTCAAATCCACGAGGACCCAAATTCCCATCAACTTTCAGAGATTCAAACTCCAGAATCACTCATGATTATGTCCTGATTATCCACCTGAAATAAAGAGTAAAACTCAGCTGTGTTTTGCTAAAGACTCTGCTCTACACTTATTCAGCAACATTTATGAGTAGAAATAACTAATATTAGTAGAAATAAATAATAATATTTCTATTAGTAGAAATAACTAATAGTAGTAGAAATAAATAATAATATTTCTATTAGTAGAAATAACTAATATTCATGTTTCACTTCCATTCTTTTTCTTCTGCCAGCTGGTATAAAGATAAGGAACTTCTGGAATATTCCTACCCAGGTTATTTATCCCTAAATGAAGACCACATGAGCATCATTGCAAACGCCATCAATGAAGGAACTTACACTTGCATAGTGAAGAAAAAAGAAAGAATCCTGACTACTTATTCCTGGAGAATCAGACTGAAGCACTGAGCCAGCCCTGGATTCAGCTCCTGCTCCTGTTTCCAGCTGTTTTTTGGCATTTTAGATTTAATCTCCAATAGTGCAACTGAATTCTTCAGCAGCTGCTTTGGTACCTTGGGCTAAGCAGCCTCTGGGACTGGTCACTGGAATGTCAAACTCCTCCAGATTCCTTCGAATGATAAAGAATTTATCAACTATTTGCTGTACAGAGAATTAAAAACGTTTTTTTTTTGTAAGAAAAGTGTCAGGTGGAGCTGTGTGAACTGCTGCAAACCAGGAGCAGACTCTGCCCAGCCCCTGGGACAGTGGATGGCAGGAAAAGGACAAATTGAACACTCTGAGTGTTCTCCTGCCATTTGTACAGAACAAATGACACTGCAAAGCCTTAATATCACTTTTCTTTCACTGGTCAGGAGGATGAGGGTCACACAAACCCTGCTTTGCTCCTTGTTCCAGCATGTTCAGTTCAAGGGCCCACAGAGCAGCTCTTCCCCCAGGTGGGTTCCTGTGGTTTGAGGGTTTTCCTCTTACCCCAAGAGCCATTTCTGGCTCAGAGTTTGGTCCTTGAGGGGTTTGAGCTGCTCAGTTTGGTCCTTGAGGGGGCAGCGCTGCCCAGTTTGGTAATTAAGGGTCTGCACTGCCCAGTTTGGTAATTAAGGGTCTGCACTGCCCAGTTTGGTAATTAAGGGCTCTGAGGTGCTCAGAGTTTGGTCCTTGAGGCGTCTGCACTGCCCAGTTTGGTAATTAAGAGTCTTCATTGCTCAGTTTGGTAATTAAGGGGTCTGAGCTGCTCAGGTTTTGGTCCTTGAGGGGGCAGCACTGCCCAGTTTGGTAATTAAGAGTCTGCACTGCCCAGTTTGGTAATTAAGGGTCTGCATTGCTCAGAGTTTGGTTCTTGAGGGGTCTGCTCTGCTCTGTTTGGTAATTAAGGGTCTGCATTGCTCAGTTTGGTCCTTGAAGGGTCTGCTCTGCTCAGAGCTTGGTCCTTCAGGGCTCTGAGCTGCTCAGTTTGGTAATTAAGGGTCTGCACTGCCCAGTTTGGTAATGAAGGGCTCTGAGCTGCCCAGTTTGGTCCTTGAGGGCTCTGAGCCTGGAGCCCCCTGGGCCTGGGGTGATTTCCTCCCTCAGGAGGAGGGGACAGAGCCCCATGCAATGCCCCATGCACTGCCCCATGCAGTGCCCATGCTGTGCCCATGCAGTGCCCCAGTGCCCTTGCAGTGCCCTTGCAATGCCCCATGCAGTGCCTCAGTGCCCATGCAATGCCCCATGCTGTGCCCATGCAATGCCCCATGCTGTGCCCATGCAATGCCCCATGCTGTGCCCCCATGCAATGCCCCCATGCAGTGCCCCATGCAGTGCCCCATGCAGTGCCCATGCAATGCCCCATGCAGTGCCCCCATGCAGTGCCCATGCAGAGCCCCATGCAATGCCCATGCAGTGCCCACGCAGTGCCCCATGCAGTGCCCCATGCAGTGCCCATGCAGTGCCCACGCAGTGCCCCATGCAGTGCCCCATGCAGTGCCCCATGCAGTGCCCCATGCAGTGCCCCATGCAGTGCCCATGCAGTGCCCATGCAGAGCCCCATGCAATGCCCCATGCAGTGCCCATGCTGTGCCCCCATGCAATGCCCATGCAGTGCCCATGCAGTGCCCCAGTGCCCATGCAGTGCCCCCATGCAATGCCCCATGCTGTGCCCCATGCAATGCTCCATGCAGTGCCCATGCAATGCTCCATGCAATGCCCCATGCAATGCCCATGCAGTGCCCATGCAGTGCCCATGCAGTGCCCATGCAGTGCCCCATGCAGTGCCCCATGCAATGCCCCATGCTGTGCCCCATGCAATGCCCTTGCAGCTGGAGAGGAGCCGGGGCAGGGAAGCTGGGAAGGGAGCAGCTCCACGTCATGGCCAAACCATGCACTGGGGTCAGGCTTGAATCCTCCAGGGCTTCCCTGCACTCCTGGGTTCCTGGGGAACCTTCTGGAACCAGGAATGCTCAGCAGTTTCTCCTTCAGGCTGAGGGGAACAGGGAGTTTTGGTTTCCCCCACAGGAGAACACCCAGCTGCTTCCCCCAGCTCAGCCCTGCCCCTGTCCAAACGGACTGAAACTGATAAAATGTTGGGGATTGCAGTCAGTCCTGGCTGGGCTGGTGCCCAGCTGTGGCTGCAGGACAAGGTGGTGTTTTCCAGATCTCCCTGTTCCCAAAACAAAGTGACAGCTCCACAAATCAGGGGCTCCAGAGGATGGGATTCCAGCAGGATTCCTCCTCTCCTCTTTCCCCAGAAAGGACTGGAATGTGGCCTTGCACAACCACTAAAGCTGAGTTCTTCTCTGGATGGAAAAAGGGCATCTATAAAAAACCAAACTTGCACAGAAAGTAAAGTTTCAAGTCTCCTTATTAAATCTTTTTGATTTATAAAACAATAGAGTAATTTGTTTTGCACCACTGTAAATACATTTACAGAACAACAAAAAAAGAAAAAATCTGGTCAGGGAGTATCAAACCCAGCCCAGCTCCCTCCAAGGATACAAACCTCATAATTGTAATTTTTCTTTTTGCCCCAAATATATTCAGACACAAACAATTTATTACTTAAAATAAAAACTCAACTCTCTTTACTGTCACCAACATCCCACTTTGCTGCATGTGAAGCAATGAAATCCTTCACACTATTAAACAATTGAAAATGTGTTTTAATTCTACAAATTTACAAGGGAAAAAAAAAAAAACCAAAACAAAACAAACTCAACAAAAAAATAAACCAGAAACTGTTCTAGGACTGTTTTTTCAAGTTGTCCTTTGTCACAGTTTGTGATGATCTGGGGTTTTCAGGTAACTCCAGTCCTCCCATGGAATGCAGCAGTTGAACTCCACATTGATTTATAAAACAAGAGCCTTGGAATCTGTGATAATCTCTGAGGTTTTTTCACAGGGAAAAACATTTGGTGCCCCTGACACAGAACAGAACTGGGGCACCCCAATCCACTCACATGAATGGTGCTTTTGTTTTTGTTTTGATTTTTGGGGATTTTTTTCCCCCCCTCCTTTTTTTTTTATGTTGAGTTCAAAACTTGAGGCTGAAGCCAGGTCCTGCAGCAGAGGCTCCTTGATTGGTGGTGGTCAGATGGAAACCTGTGTCCTTCAGGTCATCATCACCCTGTGGAGAGCAAGCACAGGGCACTGAGCAGCTGAATTTACCCATCCAAAAGCCTGAACAATCAAAATAAACTAACTCGAGATGGGAAATGAATGTTTGATTTAGGACCATCACAGTTAAGGTTGATGCTGGGTCATTCATAATCTTTAAATATTGCTGTTTCAAAATTTGCCATTGCTAAAAGCAGTTGGAGTGTTCCTAGTTCTGAACCCACTTTTGACTGCATGAGAAAGAGAAAAAAATGAGTCTAAATAAGTGTAAACTTCACTCATTGAGCATCTGATCCAACACTCAGTCTGCATGGCAGTGTTTACACCCTGAAAAATCAGGGCTAAATCAACTTTTTGTATTATTTAAACTGTAAACTGACTTTGGAAAGGGAAGCAGGACTCACCCTGGGCTTGGGGAAGGAAAACTGGACTCTCCCTGCCAGTCCAGGTGGATCTCAGGATCCCAACCAAATCCCAGGGCAGGCCCTGGAGCTGTGCCCAACTCACCAGCAGTGACTTTGGGAAGGGAAGCTGGACTCTCCCTGGGCTTTGGGAAGGAGAACTGGACTCTCCTGCCAGTGAGGATCCCAGGCAAAGCTGAGGCCCTGCCCTGTTCCACACTCACAGCTGGCTGTAACCCTGTTCCACACTCACAGCTGGCTGTAACCCCTCTACCACACTCACAGCTGGCTGTTACCCTGCTCTGTTCCACACTCACAGTACCTGTAACCCCTGTTCCACACTCACAGCTGGCTGTAACCCTGTTCCACACTCACAGTGCCTGTAACCCTGTATCACACTCACAGCTGGCTGTAACCCTGCCCTGTTCCACACTCACCATGCCTGTAACCCCTCTACCACACTCACAGCTGGCTGTAACCCTGTATCACACTCACAGCTGGCTGTAACCCTGTTCCACACTCACAGCTGGCTGTAGCCCTGTATCACACTCACAGCTGGCTGTAACCCTGTTCCACACTCACAGTGCCTGTAACCCTGTTCCACACTCACAATGCCTGTAGCCCTGTATCACACTCACAGTGCCTGTAACCCTGCCCTGTTCCACACTCACCATGCCTGTAGCCCCTCTATCACACTCACAGTACCTGTAACCCCTCTATCACACTCACAGCTGGCTGTAACCCCTCTATCACACTCACAGCTGGCTGTAACCCCTCTACCACACTCACAGCTGGCTGTAACCCTGTTCCACACTCACAGCTGGCTGTAACCCCTCTATCACACTCACAGTACCTGTAACCCCTCTACCACACTCACAGCTGGCTGTAACCCCTCTACCACACTCACAGCTGGCTGTAACCCCTCTACCACACTCACAGTGCCTGTAACCCTGTATCACACTCACAGCTGGCTGTAACCCCTCTATCACACTCACAGTGCCTGTAACCCTGTTCCACACTCACCAGCTGGCTGTAACCCCTCTATCACACTCACAGCTGCCTGTAACCCTGTTCCACACTCACCATGCCTGTAACCCTGTTCCACACTCACCAGCTGGCTGTAACCCTGTTCCACACTCACAGCTGGCTGTAACCCTGTTCCACACTCACAGTGCCTGTAACCCTGTTCCACACTCACCAGCTGGCTGTAGCCCAGCCCTCCCTCGGGGGGCCTGGGGCTGGTGCCCCTCTTGACCCTCTGCTGCTCGCTCTTGGCTGGCCAGGTGGGGAACATGGAGGGGTCGATGGGCAGCGGGGTCTCCCTGAAGTACTCGTGCTTCAGCCCGTCCTCGGCCGTGATGCGCCGTGCTGGGTAGTACGTCAGGAAACTGCCAGGGAGCACAGCAAAAGGAGAATGGAGACCCCAGAACTGCCAGCAAGGCTCCTCAGGGCTTTGTGATGATCAACACAACTCTGGCACTGGGTACTGGGATGGTTCTGTTAATGGTGCTGGGTGGAATTCCATTGGTTGGGTGGAATTCCATTGGTTGGGTGTAATGGGGTGAGCAGGTACTGGGTATAATTCTATTAATTTGTATTATTTTATCACTGGGTATTGGGTATAATTCTATTACTTTGGTATCATTTTATCACTGGGTATTGGGTGCAATTTATTACTTGGGCATCATTTTATCACTGAGTATTGGGTATAATTCTATTACTTCGGTATTATTTTATTACTGGGTATTGGGTGCAATTTATTACTTGGGTATCATTTTATCACTGGGTATTGGGTATAATTCTATTACTTTGGTATCATTTTATCACTGGGTATTGGGTATAATTCTATTACTTTGGTATCATTTTATTACTGGGTATTGGGTGTGATTTATTACTTGGGTATCATTTTATTACTGGACATTTTGTATTAATTTAGTGCCATTTTATTACTGGGTATTGGGTATAATTCTATTACTTTGGTGTCATTTTTTTACTGGACATTTTGTTTTAATTTAGTGCCATTTTATTACTGGGTATTGGTATCATTCTATTAATTTGGTACATTTTAATACTGGACATTGGGTATTAATTCGGTATCATTTTATTACTGGGTATTGGGCGTAATTTATTACTCGGGTATCATTTTATTACTGGACATTGGGTATTAATTTGGTATCATTCTATTACAGGACATTGGGTATAATTTCACTCATTTGGTATCATTTTATTACAGGGCATTGGATATAATTTTATTAATTTGGTATCATTCTATTACTAGACATTTTTGTATTAATTTGGCATAATTTTATTAACTGGGTATTGGGTATAACTCTATTACATTGGTATAATTTAATTACTGGGTATTGGGTACAATTCTATTACTGGGCATTGGTATAATTCCATTAATTTGATATCATTTCATTGCTGGACATTTGGAGACATTACCTACTCTCAGAACTATACCCAATACCCACTAATAAAATGATACCAAATTAACAGAATGATACCAACACCCTTGGACAGACAGACAGAGCTCCAAAGGGACCCAGGTTAATTCCATTCAAATTTTTCCAATTTTTGCTGTTTCAGAGAGATTTTAGCCATTCTATGAACCCACCAGATCCTCCTGTAACACAGTGCTAACCACACAGCCTGGGCTTGGCTTTACAAACCTTTCCCAACACAGAAAATTTCTGTTTTCCTGCCCAGAAATGCCCAGGGACGCCTGGAGTCTGGCACTCACTTGTTCATGAGGTCAAAGCCCTGGTCTGAGAGCAGGGCCCCGAATCTCTTGCGCAGGTTGTTGTAGGGATACTCTGTGAAGGTCATTTTCTTCACTGCGGGCAGCTCGTTGTAACCAGGCCAGATCTTTTCACTGGGAGTGCCCAGATCCTGCAAATTAAAATTAAAATACCCCTTTAATAAACTCAAGAGTGCAATCCTTGATTTATGTATTTATTCATGAGGAGTTGGGAATTATCCAGAGAAAACAGACACAACAAATCATGGTCTCAGCCTACTCAAAGTGTGGCAAAGCAGATTCAATAACTTTTCATTAAATAACTTTTCATTAAATAACTTTTCATTAAATGATTTTTCATTAAAGAACTTTTTATTAAATAACGTTTCATTCAATAACTTTCCATTCAATAACTTTCCATTCAATAACTTTCCATTCAATAACTTTCCATTCAATAACTTTCCATTCAATAACTTTCCATTCAATAACTTTCCATCCAATAACTTTCCATCCAATAACTTTCCATCCAATAACTTTCCATCCAATAACTTTTCATTGAGGCTGAATCTCTGTTAAAGAACAACAAGCACTACTCCAATGCTCCTGTTTCTAGAACCAGTCAAAAATCCCCAAATATTTTGAAAATTACCTTAAAAACTTTGTTAATCTGGTCGATTTCTGACTTCCCTGGGAACAGAGGCTTCTGTGTCAGCAGCTCCCCAAAAATACACCCCACTGACCACATGTCTATGGCTGTGGAATATTCCTGGAAAGAAGGGAAAGGAAATCAAATTCACCTCAGGAAAATCAGGAAGATCTTTTCCCTGAGTTGTCTGGAGGGATGCTGTGGCTCCTGGGGGTTTATTTGGGGTTTCTTTGAGCAGAACACACATAACCAGTCCCATACCCAAGGGCCAGGTCTCAATTATCCTCTCAATTAATATCTGACTGTAATTATTTCAGGTTTCTAATGATGGATTATGAGCCATGCACACCAATCTCTCAGGATGAAAGGTGAGAAGGCTTTCACTGATCCCTCTCTTTTCCACTCACAAACAAAGCAGCACAGCTGACAAACCAGGAATTTCCTGGCAGGGCTCTTGAGCCCTGATTGCACCCAGATTCCAGCAGAGAACATTCCAGAAGAGTGGCAGCACCTTGTCCTGCTCAGATGTCACAGGTTTCAGACTAATGTAAAAGGACATTTAGAATCCATCAGCACCGAGCACATCAGCATCCCAAGGGAGAAAACCCACCTGTGACCCTCCCATGCTCTGTGTGGGGAGGATGGAAGGGTTTTAGATGTCATTGGGAGGAAAAATTATTATTATTATTATTATTATTAGTAGTAGTAGTAGTAGTAGTAGTAGTAGTAGTAGAAGATTTCCATTATTAGGAAAAATATATAATATACTAACATATGATAAAATTATATAATTAAAATAATATTATAATAATAGATTAAATAGATTATATATTTAATAATAGATAATAAATATATATTTTAAAATATACAACAATGATATATATAGCAATGTATAATAACAAATCATATAATAATAGTGATGATAATGATGATGATGATAATGATAGTGATGATGATAATAATGATGATAATGATGATGATAATGATGATAATGATGATGATGATAGTGATGATAATAGTGATGATGATAATAATGATGATAATTAACAATGATGATAATAGTGAAGATAATAATGATGGTAATAGTGATGGCAATAGTGATGGCAATAGTGATGGCAATAGTGATGGCAATAGTGATGATGATGATAATGATGATAATAGTGAAGATAATAGTGAAGATAATTGATAATGATGATAGTAGTGATGATAATGGTGATGATAATGGTGATGATAATGGTGATGATAATGGTGATGATAATGGTGATGATAATGGTGATGATAATGGTGATGATAATGGTGATGATAATGGTGATGATAATGGTGATGATAATGGTGATGATAATGGTGATGATAATGGTGATGATAATGGTGATGATAATGGTGATGATAATGGTGATGATAATGGTGATGATAATGGTGATGATAATGGTGATGATAATGGTGATGATAATGGTGATGATAATGGTGATGATAATAGTGATGATAATAGTGAAGATAATAGTGAAGATAATAGTGAAGATAATAGTGAAGATAATAGTGAAGATAATAGTGAAGATAACAGTGATGATAATGATGAAGATAACAGTGAAGATAACAGTGAAGATAACAGTGAAGATAACAGTGAAGATAACAGTGAAGATAACAGTGAAGATAATAGTGAAGATAATAGTGAAGATAATAGTGATGATAATAGTGATGATAATAGTGAAGATAATAGTGAAGATAATAGTGAAGATAATAGTGAAGATAATAGTGAAGATAACAGTGAAGATAACAGTGATGATAACAGTGATGATAACAGTGATGATAACAGTGATGATAATGATGATGATAATTAACAATGATGACAATCAGGATTTACAGCTGTCCATCAGCAGCATTCACTGCTCCCCTTGGATCCTGATTTCTCCACCCCAGTCAGGTGTTCCATAGCTGCATTTTCCCTGCCCCAGCAGCCAGAGCAGAGCTCACCTTGGCTCCCAGCAGCAGCTCTGGAGCTCTGTACCACAGGGTCACCACCACGGGCGTGTAGGGCTTCAGGGGAGAGCCGTACTCCCTGGCCAAGCCAAAATCTCCAACCTGCAAGGAGGAACAGCAACACCTCCAGCACTGCTCATCACCAGCACAGGGATCTGGGCCCAGCTCTGCCTCTGCAACTCTGCAGAGGGAATTTATCCTCATTTCATCTCTTTTTTCTCCTAATTCTTACTTTTAAAATGCCTGAATGGCTGAGCAGCAGGTTGGAAGTTTTCAAGTCTCTGTGAAGGATCCAATTGTCGTGGAGGTGTTTGACCCCTCGTAGCAACTGAATCATCAAAGTCTTCACTTCTCCTGGAATGACAAAAAATGGGTGGGAGAAAAGAAAGAAAGATTTAAAAATGCATTGAAGAAATAAATAAATAAATACATGATTTTAAAATGCATTGAAGAAAATAAATAAATAAATAAATAAATGATTTAAAAATGCATTGAAGAAAATAAATAAATTAATAAATAAATGATTTCAAAATGCATTGAAGAAAATAAATAAATAAATGATTGAAGAAAATAAATAAATAAATGATTTAAAAATGCATTGAAGAAAATAAATAAATGATTTTAAAAATGCATTGAAGAAAATAAATAAATAAATGGTTAAAAAATGCACTGAAGAAAATAAATGATTAAGAAACGCACTGAAGAAAATAAATAAATAAATGATTAAAAAATGCACTGAAGAAAGTAAATAAATGATTTTAAAAATGCACTGAATAAAATAAATAAATAAATAATTTTTAAAATGCACTGAAGAAAATAAATCTGCCTTTAATTTGTGTTTTATTGGTTTGGAGGGCAGGAAGGAGTGGCCAGTTAAAGCACAGGAAAGCCTGCACTATCAAAATGTGTCACAGAACAACAAAATCCATTTGGGCAGCTGGAATCCATCCCAATTATGCTCAGAGATGACTGTCCCTGGTAAGAAGCAGCCAAAATTCAAGGCCAATGTCATCTTCCAGCTCAGCAAATCCATCCCAATTGTGCTCAGAGATGACTGTCCCTTGTAGGAAGCAGCCAAAATTCAAGGCCAATGTCATTTTCCAGCTCAGGAAATCCATCCCAATTGTGCTCAGAAATGACTGTCCCTGGTAAGAAGCAGCCAAAATTCAAGGCCAATGTCATTTTCCAGCTCAGGAAATCCATCCCAATTGTGCTCAGGAATGACTGTCCCTTGTAGGAAGCAGCCAAAATTCAAGGCCAATGTCATTTTCCAGCTGAGCACAGGTGAAACTGCCCCAGTTTCACCCCAAACCCAAACTGGAATCACCAGCAGCTCCCAGCACCAGGCTCAGCCCACGCCTTCACCTGGGGCAGCTTGTACAGAATAAAACCCAGGCTCTGTCCTGGATTCCTTCAGGAACTCCATGAAAAACAAACCCCAACCTTTCTCCTCTGGTTTGTGGCTGAATTTCAAGAGGAAAACCCAGGAAATCTGAGTTCCAAGGAAGCCAGGACATGGCACAGCAACCCAGGCAGTGCCCAGGGCCAGCCTGCGGCTCTGGGAGCGCCGGTACCTGGCAGGAACGGCTGCTTCATGGTTTCCATCAGGCTCTTCAGGTCGTGCTCCACATAATTCATCACAATGTAGATTTTATCCATGTTGCTGCCCACAACAATCTCCTGCAACACACAAGCAGGTGAGCAAAACCCACACACGGCGTTGAAAAAGCACCCAGGGTCCATTTGGGGAATGTACGGGAAAGAGGAGAGAGGCTGCCATTGGGAAAATCCTGAAAAATGGGATTTTTTCTATTAAAAACCAGCTCATTTTTGGTAAAACATCAGATTGTGCAGCCAGGGATGTCTCCACAGCCTTATGAGCAGCACACAACTGTAGGTTTTCTATAATGTAAATAAAATAATTTTTTTTTTCCTAAAACGTATTTTTTCTATTAAAAACCAGCTCATTTTTGGTAAAACATCAGATTGTGCAGCCTGGGATGTCTATACAGCCTTATGAGCAGCACACAACTGTATTTTTTCTATTTTTTCTAAAGTGTAAATAATTTTTTTTTTTTTTTCTAAAATGTATTTTTTCATTGGAAAAATCCTTAAAAATGGTATTTTTCTATTAAAAACCAGCTCATTTTTGGTAAAACATCAGCTTGTGCAGCCTGGGATGTCTTTACAGCCTTATGAGCAGCACACAACTGTATTTTTTCTAAAATGTAAATAAAAATAATTTTTTTTACAGCACACAACTGTATTTTTTCTATTTTTTCTAAAGTGTAAATAAAAATTATTTTTTTTTTTCTAAAATGTATTTTTTCATTGGAAAAATCCTTAAAAATTGTATTTTTCTATTAAAAACCAGCTCATTTTTGGTAAAACATCAGCTTGTGCAGCCAGGGATGTCTCCACAGCCTTATGAGCAGCACACAACTGTATTTTTTCTATTTTTTCTAAAATGTAAATAATTTTTTTTTTTTCCTAAAATGTATTTTTTCATTGGAAAAATCCTTAAAAATAGTATTTTTTCCATTAAAAACCAGCTCATTTTTGGTAAAACATCAGATTGTGCAGCCTGGGATGTCTCCACAGCCTTATGAGCAGCACACAACTGTATTTTTTCTAAAATGTAAATAAAAACAATTTTTTTACAGCACACAACTGTATTTTTTCTATTATGTAAATAAAAATATATTTTTATATTTATCTATTAAAAGAATATATATTCTTTTCTAAAATGTATTTTTTCCATTAAAAACCAGCTCATTTTTGGTAAACCATCAGATTGTGCAGCCTGGGATGTCTTTACAGCCTTATGAGCAGCACACAACTGTATTTTTTCTATTATGTAAATAAAAATATATTTTTATATTTATATATTAAAAGAGTATATATTCTTTTCTAAAATGTATTTTTTTCTATTAAAAACCAGCTCATTTTTGGTAAAACATCAGATTGTGCAGCCTGGGATGTCTCTACAGCCTTATGAGCAGCACACAACTGCTCACAGCAGCAAGATCTGCCAGGGTTGCTGCTATTTTCATATTTAAAAATATGAATATTTATAAATATTTCATATTTAAAAGGAATATTTCAACCCAATAAAAGAGATCAAAGAGTGCAGCCTTACTCTGACAGTGACAATGTTCAGGTGCTGTGCTTTCAGAATTGTATTTATTTCTCTCAGAGAAGTGATGGGGAAACCTTCCTTCTCCTTTTCCATTTTCAGTCTCTTCAGAGCCACGATTTCATCTGCAAAGGGAACACATTTCCCATCCCACAGTTAAAAATTCCCATTACCAGGTGTTCTCTCACTCATGATCTGTGCTGCTCTGTCTTGAAAATCAGCAGCTTTTTGATAAAGAAATATTTGCAAATCGTATTTGAAATATTTGAAAATGCAGAATGGTGATTTGCAGCCCTAAATGAATACCCTGAGGAAGAGGAGGGCTCTGATACCCACCAGTCTTTTTGTCCTTGGCCCTGTACACCACACCATAGGTTCCTTCTTCAATCCTGTTCAAGCACTGGAATTCCTCCACGCTGCGGCAGCCCTGAACAAACCACAGGGACAGCATTGACTCCTCCAGGATTTACAACCCCAGCATTGACTCCTCCAGGATTTACAACCCCAGCATTGACTCCTCCAGGATTTAATCCCTCAGCATTGACTCCCCCAGGATTTACACCCCCAGGATTTAATCCCTCAGCATTGACTCCCCCAGGATTTACAACCCCAGGATTTAATCCCTCAGCATTGACTCCTCCAGGATTTACACCCCCAGGATTTAATCCCTCAGCATTTACACCCCCAGCATTGACTCCCCCAGGATTTACACCCCCAGGATTGACTCCCCCAGGATTTAATCCCTCAGCATTGACTCCCCCAGGATTTACAACACCAGGATTTAATCCCTCAGCATTTACACCCACAGCATTGACTCCTCCAGGATTTAATCCCTCAGCATTTACACCCACAGCATTGACTCCCCCAGGATTTACAACCCCAGCATTGACCCCTCCAGGATTTAATCCCTCAGCATTGACTCCCCCAGGATTTAATCCCTCCAGCATTTACACCCCCAGGATTTAATCCCTCAGCATTGACCCCTCCAGGATTTACCCCTCCAGGAGCATTTACCCCTCCAGCATTGACTCCCCCAGGATTTAATCCCTCAGCATTTACACCTCCAGCATTTACTCCTCCAGGATTTAATCCCTCAGCATTTACACCCCCAGCATTGACTCCTCCAGGATTTACCCCTCCAGCATTGACTCCCCCAGGATTTAATCCCTCAGCATTGACTCCTCCAGGATTTACAACCCCAGGATTTAATCCCTCAGCATTTACACCCCCAGCATTGACTCCTCCAGGATTTACCCCTCCAGGATTTACACCCCCCAGGATTTAATCCCTCAGCATTGACTCCTCCAGGATTTACACCCCCAGGATTTACACCCCCAGGATTTACACCCCCAGGATTTACCCCTCCAGCATTTACCCCTCCAGCATTTACCCCTCCAGCATTTACCCCTCCAGCATTTACCCCTCCAGCATTTATCCCCCAGCATTTACCCCTCCAGCATTGACCCCTCCAGCATTGACCCCTCCAGCATTGACCCCTCCAGCATTGACCCCTCCAGCATTGACCCCTCCAGCATTGACCCCTCCAGCATTTACTCCCCCAGCATTGACTCCCCCAGCATTGACTCCCCCAGCATCTGGGAGAAGGTTTTGCATTTTAAAAACTTCAGCAACTTCCCAGTTAAAATTTACCAGAAGAATTCAGCTATAAATCAAAGGATAAAGGAGTCTTTGGGGTTTGTTTTTCATGGAGTTTCTAAAGGGATCCAGGACAGAGCCTGTGTTTCAGCAGATTAATTCAATTATTCCATTCACTCCTGCACAAAGGCAGCAATTCAGCACCTTTCACATAATTAATTAGTAAAAATCTGGTTTTTAGTAGTATTTTTACACTTTGCTGCTGGCTACATAAAGAAAAACCAGTTTCTGTTGATGGTACAGAACTCTCCTCTCACAAGGACCCATTCTCAGACAGCAATAGCAAGATAAGAGATCTCAATGCTATCAGAAATGCTGCAGGGGTGATTCCCTACCTGCAGGGCAGGGAGATACTTGGGGAGCTCCTGCTTCAGCTCGATGGGGGAGGAGGCTGGAGAGTCAGGAATGTATTCCCCTTCTGTCATGGCATTGGAGTGAGGGGAGCCTTCCCCCAGCTCCTCCTCCTCCGCCTCGCTGCCCGCAGAATCCCGGTCAAACCTCGACTCTGGAACTTCAACAGTCAGAATCAGTGCTGGAAAGAGGAGCTGTGAGGATGAAATGAACTCAGCCTGGGGTAAACAGAGGTGGTGACATTGAGCACTGCGGGGCAGAGCAGGGTGGAGAAGCCAAATTCCCCCTCCTGGCAGAGGGGACGCTTTCAGAATTCACCTGCGGCTCCCAGTGTGAATGCAGCAGGCCAGAAAAATCAATCTTTGCACCAGAATGGAAAAGAAAATTGACCCAAGATTCTCATTCTCATTCTAGGTCTCATTCTCTGATTTTGATTCCAGTGTTAATGTAGCAGCTCAGAAAAATCAATCTTTGCACCAGAATGGAAGAGAAAATTTACTAAAGATGTCTCATTCTCATTCTGGGTCTCATTCTCTGATTTTGATTCCTGTGTTAATGCAGCAGCTCAGAAAAATTAATTTTGCACCAGAATGGAAGAGAAAATTTACTAAAGATTTCTCATTCTGGGTCTCATTCTCTGATTTTGATTCCAGTGTGAATGCAGCAGCTCAGAAAAACAAATCTTTACACCAGAATGGAAGAGAAAATTTACTAAAGATGTCTCATTCTCATTCTGGGTCTCATTCTCTGATTTTGATTCCTGTATTAATGCAGCAGGTCAGAAAAATTAATTTTGCACCAGAATGGAAGAGAAAATTTACCAAAGATGTCTCATTCTGGGTCTCATTCTCTGATTTTGATTCCAGTGTAAATGTATCAGGTCAGAAAAATCAATTTTGCACCAGAATGGAAGAGAAAATTGACCCAAGATGTCTCATTCTGGGTGTCATTCTCTGATTTTGATTCCAGTGTGAATGCAGCAGGTCAGAAAAATCAATCTTTGCACCAGAATGGAAGAGAAAATTTATTAAAAAGATTCTCATTCTGGGTCTCACTCTCTGATTTTGATTCCTGTATTAATGCAGCAGCTCAGAAAAATAAATCTTTGCACCAGAATGGAAGAGAAAACTGACCCAAGATTCTCATTCTGGGTCTCATTCTCTGATTTTGATTCCAGTGTAAATGTATCAGGTCAGAAAAATTAATTTTGCACCAGAATGGAAGAGAAAATTGACCCAAGATGTCTCATTCTAGGTCTCATTCTCTGATTTTGATTCCTGTGTTAATGCAGCAGGTCAGAAAAATAAATTTTGCACCAGAATGGAAGAGAAAATTTACTAAAGATGTCTCATTCTCATTCTGGGTGTCATTCTCAGATTTTGATGAGAAGACAAAAGAACACAAAATGAAAGAGAAGGAAACATCAGCTCATGATTGATTCCCTCTAAACACAAAGCCTGAAGCAGATTTCAAGGAGTTTCTGAGTTTGACATGAGAACAGCACTCTGATATTTGAAATATTTGTAGAAACAGATTTATCTAGCTGCAAACACCCAGCCCAACAGTTCCTTCAAGCATTCAGTATTTGCATTGTACCAACTGGGATGTGGTTTCCATTCTCCCGTTCCTCCTCTTCACTCATTTCCTCCTCGCTCACCTCCTCTGCAAAAAGAGCCAAGATTGAGTGGGAAAATCCCCATTTCTGCAGCTCCCTGCTGGAATCCTCTCCCCTCTCACCAGGCTTCTGCACCGTCAGAAACTCACAAACAGAAATTCTGTTTCACTCCCAACACAACTTTTACCAATTCTCTGGGAATTGGGATGTGGGCAGGTAAATAAGTAATTAATATTTCCTTATTTGTTGTAATTATTTTAAAGAAAAACACCCAGCCATCAGAGCCTCTACTCTTGTGCCTTTTCTTTACTAATTAATGACAAGAATGGCTGCACTTTTCTGAACTTTGTGTTATTATGTTCATTCATTGGGAAAAAAAAATCTGAAATTTGCAACAGAAAAGAATTCAAAATGACAAAAAAAGACCTTTGGATTTCACCACCCCCAAAGAAGTGCAAATACTCTGCAGGGTATTTGATGTGTCCCAGAACCACCTGAACTGCTGACAAAAATGGCTCTCAGCTTTCTGCTCTGGCTTCTTAGATGAAAATTGGTATTACCTCTACCAAAAGGATAGAATGGGACTTGGACTTGGGTGTTTTCTTTTTAGTTATCTTGACCTGTGAGGTCTCAGCCTAGCCTAGACTAAGAGAAAAGGAAAATGTTCAAATAAAACAACAAACGGGATGAGGAAAATAAAAATAAAATCACACAGGCCCTGCAGGCCTGCTGGGTGGGTGAAACCCTCACCTGCTGATTGCTCAGACACCTCCTCAGAGTTGCTCCCTGTCTCCTCCTCCTCCTCCTCTTCCTCTCCCTCCTCCTCAGAGCCTTCGCTGCTGGACTCTTCCTCCTCCTCTTCTGAGCCTGACCCAGATTCTGTCCAGGAACAATCAGGCACTTTACACTCACAGTGTTTGCTCAGCAGAGACATTAATTACAGCTGTACAGTTAATTACAGCTCCTAAATTGCATTTCATCACCTGAGGAGGACTCTGCTGAGCTGGTTTTTCTCTCACTGTCACTGATGTCTTGCAGGTCTGACAGAGGATCCCTCTCTTCTGGTTTCTCTTCTTTTACTGCTGAAACCACAAAAATTAAAACCACAGTGCTAATTGAGCATCCTTTCCAAGCCTCTGAATTCCCAGCTAACTGCTTCACTTTCTGCTGGCATTAAATCAGTGCTGAATATTCACTATTGGAAATTCAGAAAAAAAAAATATTAATAATAATTTCACACTCTGCTCAATGACAAACAGCTTTTCTGAATTGCAGTGGTGCAGGATCAACAGCCAAAAATATGGAATAATATTGACCTGAATTTTAAACATGAGGTGTTCCTAAGATGAATTAAAATAGGGGAAAAAAGGGGAAAAAAGCACCATGGTGACAAAAATCACCAGAGCAGGGTCCCTACACTCTGGTTACTGTCAGTGCCCACTGCTCCAGGGAGCACCAAGAAAAAACATCCCTGGTGCTTGATGGGGCAGGAGCTGCCCAGGCCTTGCTGCCTGCCTGCAGCTGGAATTGCAGATGATTCCCACCTGGAATTCCACTGATTCCATCCTGGAATTCCACTGATTCCATCCTGGAATTGCACTGATTCCATCCTGCCCTGGGTGTCTACACCTGGAATTGCACTGATTCCATCCTGGAATTCCACTGATTCCATCCTGCTCTGGGTGTCCACATCTGGAATTCCAGATGATTCCATCCTGCTCTGGGTGTCCACATCTGGAATTCCACTGATTCCATCCTGCTGAGTGCCTGCACCTGGAATTCCACTGATTCCATCCTGCTCTGGGTGTCTACACCTGGAATTCCATCTCTACAATTAATTCCACTGATTCCATCCTGCTCTGAGTGTCAGAATCTGGAATTCCACTGATTCCATCCTGCTCTGGATGCCCACACCTGGAATTCCAGATGATTCCATCCTGCTCTGGGTATCTGCACCTGGAATTCCACTGATTCCATCCTACTCTGGGTGTCTGCACCTGGAATTCCAGATGATTCCATCCTGCTCTGAGTGTCCACATCTGGAATTCCACTGATTCCATCCTGCTCTGGGTGTCTGCACCTGGAATTCCATCTCTACAATTAATTCCAGATGATTCCATCCTGCTCTGGGTGCCTCCATCTGGAATTCCACTGATTCCATCCTGCTCTGGATGCCTACACCTGGAATTCCACTGATTCCATCCTGCTCTGGATGCCTACACCTGGAATTCCACTGATTCCATCCTACTCTGGGTGTCTGCACCTGGAATTCCACTGATTCCATCCTGCTCTGGGTGCCCAAATCTGGAATTCCACTGATTCCATCCTGCTCTGGGTGTCCACATCTGGAATTCCATCTCTACAATTAATTCCAGCTGATTCCATCCTGCTCTGGGTGCCTGCTCTTCTTTCCAGAGCTGGACATGTCAGCAAGGCAGACTCAGAGCTTTCCTCCTCCTAACAAAGGTGTTTTGGTGTCCCTTGTGCAAATTCCCCACCCCCAGACCCTTCAGGTGGGATCATTTTCTGACTTGGAAAACAAAATTCACCATCTCAGCAGAACTCTGCATTCAGAATTTAACTCTCCTGCAAGATGACAGAACCAGTGATGCTCACACTGATCCCTGTGAGGTCACTTTTTGAGGTAATTTAGCTCCTAAGCCCAAATCCAACTGGAGCTGGAGTAACCAATCCCTTTTTAACCTGCAAGGCAATTCAACTGCAGGATTTAAAAATTCAGTCAGCTGCTTCTTTCACCACTGAACAGGGGCTTAAACTCCTTTTGAAACTTTTCCAATGGCTCCTCCTAGCCCTAAACATCCCATTTATCACTTGTGCATCTCCTGCAAAACCAGCACTGCTTTAGGAAAGAGACATTGGTGAAGATCCCAGCCTTACACCCAGGGGCTGAGCTGGACAAGGCTTGAACTGAGCACCTGGGATGTTTGGTTGAGACTAAAAATGAACTGAATTGGATTGGATTGGATTTTTTACCCCAGCTGTCCCCCAGTAGTGTAGAGAGGCAGATGCTACCTGGTTTCCTGCTCTCTCCTTGCTCAAGCTTGTCTCTCTGCTGGCGCAAGGGGCTGCGACTCCAGGGTCTCATTTTTACTTTGTCTCCATATTCTTCCCTCACTGTTCTATGGTGTGCAGAAACTGGGGAAAACAAAACCACAAGAAATTGTTACATCTGCCTAATTAGAGTTGTCCTGGCTGCCACAGCCACCTGATTGGAATGATTTTCTTTTATTTTTTTTTGTTTATTTTTTAAACAGGGTAATAGGGAAGAGTGAGAGAGGAACCTACTTCAGTCTGGGAGAATGAAGGGTTTTGGTTGATCTCAAATAAAATATGGATTTGTACTGCTTAGAGAAAGCTGCTGCCACACTTAGAAACAGAAGCAAGCTGCCCTGTATGTTACACAATGAACACCCTGAATTAAAGCATTAATGCCAGAGAAAGAAGTGGAAAAAATGTAAAAGAATAAAACCAGCTGAGGTTTAGAAGGAGCTGACAGAACATTCAGAACAATAAAATCAATGAAATTAAAAGTTACACAGATTGAGCACTATCAGCATAAAGGCAAGCACAAAAAGGAGCTGTTTGGTATGAGCTGAGCAAGAAAGAGAAAGCAAAAAATATGGTTTGTTCTGCTGTTCCTGAATAATCTCTATCACCTGAGCACAGAAATGGGCTCTGATTTTTACCTCTGAAAGCTGGGCCAGAGATCCTTGAACCAAAAATGAGCTGAGATTGCAAACACCCAACATGCAAAGAGTTCAGGTGCAGAAATTAAAACTGCTCAGGCACCAGACAATCCCACCTGACCCCCACTGCAGCATTTTCCATGCCTGGAGCACTTACATGGCCTCTCCCCCTTTGCAATTTATTCCCCCAAATCCTTAAAACATTGAATTTTGAGGTTTCAACCTCTACCCAACTGAGTTAGCCTCAGCCAAAGGGTTCAGAACCACTGGGGTTGTGCTGGGTGCACACAGTGGCACCTCCAGAAATCCTGGTTTTATGGAAATAACCCCTCAGAAATCCTGGTTTTATAGGAAATCCTGGTTTTATGGGAAATAACCCCTCAGAAATCCTGGTTTTATGGAAAATTTCCCCTCCAGAAATCCTGGTTTTATGGAAATAACCCCTCAGAAATCCTGGTTTTATAGGAAATCTCCCCCTCAGAAATTCTGGTTTTATAGGAAATCTCCCCCTCAGAAATTCTGGTTTTATAGGAAATCTCCCCTCTAGAAATCCTGGTTTTATGGAAATAACCCCTCAGAAATCCTGGTTTTATGGAAATAACCCCTCAGAAATCCTGGTTTTATGGAAAATTTCCCCTCCAGAAATCCTGGTTTTATGGGAAATAACCCCTCAGAAATCCTGGTTTTATGGAAATAACCCCTCAGAAATCCTGGTTTTATGGGAAATAACCCCTCAGAAATCCTGGTTTTATGGGAAATAACCCCTTAGAAATCCTGGTTTTATGGAAATAACCCCTCAGAAACCCTGGTTTTATAGGAAATCCTGGTTTTATAGGAAATAACCCCTCAGAAATCCTGGTTTTCTAGCAAATAACCCCTCAGAAATCCTGGTTTTATAGGAAATAACCCCTCAGAAATCCTGGTTTTATAGGAAATAACCCCTCAGAAATCCTGGTTTTATGGGAAATAACCCCTCAGAAATCCTGGTTTTATGGAAATAACCCCTCAGAAATCCTGCTTTTATGGAAATAACCCCTCAGAAATCCTGGTTTTATAGGAAATAACCCCTCAGAAATCCTGGTTTTATGGGAAATAACCCCTCAGAAATCCTGGTTTTATAGGAAATCCTGGTTTTATAGGAAATAACCCCTCAGAAATCCTGGTTTTATGGGAAATAACCCCTCAGAAATCCTGGTTTTATGGGAAATAACCCCTCAGAAATCCTGGTTTTATGGAAATAACCCCCTCAGAAATCCTGGTTTTATGGGAAATAACCCCTTAGAAATCTTGGTTTTATGGAAATCTCCCCCTCAGAAATCCTGGTTTTATGGAAATAACCCCTCAGAAATCCTGGTTTTATGGAAATCTCCCCTCAGAAATCCTGGTTTTATAGGAAATAACCCCTCAGAAATCCTGGTTTTCTAGGAAATAACCCCTCAGAAATCCTGGTTTTATGGGAAATAACCCCTCAGAAACCCTGGTTTTATGGGAAATAACCCCTCAGAAATCCTGGTTTTATAGGAAATCTCCCCCTCAGAAATTCTGGTTTTGTGGAAATCTCCCCCTCAGAAATCCTGGTTTTATGGAAAATTTCCCCTCCGGAAATCCTGGTTTTATGGAAATAACCCCTCAGAAATCCTGGTTTTATGGGAAATAACCCCTCAGAAATCCTGGTTTTATGGAAATAACCCCTCAGAAATCCTGGTTTTATGGGAAATAACCCCTCAGAAATCCTGGTTTTTTAGGAAATAACCCCTCAGAAATCCTGGTTTTATAGGAAATAACCCCTCAGAAATCCTGGTTTTATGGAAATCTGCCTGACAGGGAAGGCAAGGACTCCCTGACCGATCAACTCCTCAGGATATTTCAGGCCCACAACATCATCACATCATTTTATCTCCCCATGTAAAACTTACATTTCCTTTTCCCTCCCATGTCCCCACTTCAATATTTTTTAAATTCTGGTGCTGCTTTAATAAAACCACTTCCTCCCCCTCCATTTCAGCTGTGTGTAAACAGGTAGGAAAGCGATAGTAAATATGATTTATGCAGAGGGAGTCACCTTCTCTCCTGGCCTCCCTCTCCTTCCTCCTCTCCTCAGCTCTCCTCTCTCTCTCCTTTTGCTCTCGCTGCTCCTTCTGCTGCTCCCGGATTTTTCTTTCCCTTTCTCTCTCCAGTTGCTCCAAACGATCTCTGGAAAATAATTTTTGTTTGTTACAAATTCAGCTGGTGAAGAGAAGGAAAACTGGTGTGCAGCACCAAACCACTGAACTCAACTTCCTTCTCAACACCCATAGGAACAGGGGGAGTTCTGCAGCTGATCCTTTAAAAACCAGGTTTAAAAAACCCAGACCAGGAGTTCTCCACCCTGTCAGGATTTAAGCCAGTCCAGTTAATCAATCCCATGATAATCCAGATAATTAATCCCCTGTGCAAATCTGGTTTGTAGTTATTTTTTCAGGTTGATAACAACCTCCAAGACCATCCCATCTTTTTATTCCAGTGAATTCACCTGGAATACCCACGGTAACAAAACACTTAAAAATAATTAAAGTGAAGAACCCATTCCCAGGAACACACAGAGTTTTCCCTGTGGATTTTTTTTTTTTTCTGGTTATTTCCCAATGCTCAGAAGAGGCAGGTGCTGGGGAGGGGAGGGATGGATGTACCTCTCCCTTCTGGAATGTTCCCTGGCCATCTCTCTCCGTTTCTGCCTCTCCCATTCACGCCGGGCTTTGTCCTGCTCTTCTCTGTGCCTCTTCCTGCGCTCGTGCTCCCGTTCCTTCTCTTTCACTCTGGCGTGTTTCCCTTGGACAAACACAAATCAGCTTCAATTCCCCACTGTTACTGCTCCAAATAATCACAGAAAGCAAAACCCAGGGGGTGAAACCGATGGGAACCATTGCCATGAGCTCTGCTGTTCTCTCAAAGGGAAAATCCTGCTCTGAAAGGGGATGGAAAGGCCAAAGTCTGTCAGGTTTTGCATGAATAATTGTATTAAAGTAAAAAATGGTTGGTATTGATGGGAATTTGTCTAGAAATTATATTTTTTTCCCTTGGCAGGTACAAAGATCAGAAACCTTTCACTCAGTGAAGCCAGAGAATATACTTGAAGTAAAGTAAAAAATGGTTGTTATTGATGGGAATTTGTCTAGAAAGGATATTCTTTCCCTTGGCAGGTACAAAGATCAGAGGCTTTCACTCAGTGAAGCCAGAGATAACCTAAACAGGCTTCAAGGAGTAAAAGTGACCTCAGTGTCCCTGCCCAAAGTGATTTCTGTGCTCTGAACCAGGCTCACAGCCCCACCATTCCCCCAAGGGCACTAAAACAGCCAAGGAAATGAACAATTTCAATTCCTCTGCCTACAATCTCAATTCCTCTGCCTACAATCTCAATTCCTCTGCCTACAATCTCAATTCCTCTGCCTACAATCTCAATTCCTCTGCCTACAATCTCAATTCCTGTGCCCACAATCTCAATTCCTCTGCCTACAATCTCAATTCCTCTGCCTACAATCTCAATTCCTCTGCCTACAATCTCAATTCCTCTGCCTACAATCTCAATTCCTCTGCCTACAATCTCAATTCCTCTGCCTACAATCTCAATTCCTCTGCCTACAATCTCAATTCCTCTGCCTACAATCTCAATTCCTCTGCCTACAATCTCAATTCCTCTGCCTACATTTTCAATTCCTGTGTCTACAATCTCAATTCCTCTGCCTACATTTTCAATTCCTGTGTCTACAATCTCAATTCCTGTGCCTACATTTTCAATTCCTGTGTCTACCATCTCAATTCCTGTGCCTACCATCTCAATTCCTCTGCCTACATTTTCAATTCCTGTGTCTACAATCTCAATTCCTGTGCCTACAATCTCAATTCCTGTGCCTACAATCTCAATTCCTCTGCCTACAATCTCAATTCCTGTGCCTACAATCTCAATTCCTCTGCCTACAATCTCAATTCCTGTGCCTACAATTTCAATTCCTGTGCCTACAATTTCAATTCCCGTGTCTACATTTTCAATTCCTCTGCCTACAATCTCAATTCCTCTGCCTACAATCTCAATTCCTCTGCCTACAATCTCAATTCCCGTGTCTACAATTTCAATTCCTCTGCCTATATTTTCAATTCCTCTGCCTATATTTTCAATTCCTGTGTCTACAATCTCAATTCCTCTGCCTACAATCTCAATTCCTGTGTCTACAATCTCAATTCCTCTGCCTACAATCTCAATTCCTCTGCCTACAATCTCAATTCCTCTGTCTACAATCTCAATTCCCGTGCCTACCATCTCAATTCCTGTGCCTACAATCTCAATTCCTCTGCCTACAATCTCAATTCCTCTGCCTACAATCTCAATTCCTCTGCCTACAATCTCAATTCCTCTGCCTACAATCTCAATTCCTCTGCCTACAATCTCAATTCCCGTGTCTACAATTTCAATTCCTCTGCCTATATTTTCAATTCCTCTGCCTATATTTTCAATTCCTGTGTCTACAATCTCAATTCCTCTGCCTACCATCTCAATTCCTGTGCCTACAATCTCAATTCCTCTGCCTACAATTTCAATTCCTCTGCCTACAATCTCAATTCCTCTGCCTACAATCTCAATTCCTGTGCCCACAATCTCAGTTCCTCTGCCTACAATCTCAATTCCTGTGCCTACAATCTCAATTCCTGTGCCCACAATCTCAATTCCTGTGCCTCTGCCCCTGCTGGGTTCCCCAGCCCGAGTCCCTGCTGTTTGTTCCACCCCAGGATGGCAGAAGCACCTTCTGCAGAGTGGCTCCTGTGCCTGCGTTTCTCTTTCCTCTTCTCATCCTTCCTGTGATGGGTTTTTTCCTTCCTGGACATTTGCTGGGGTGGTTTGATGGCCAAGGAATCATCTTCTTCTCCCCTGGAAGGCAGGACAGCAGTGAGCTCAGGGAGGTGAAAGGGCAAATCCACACATTGCCTTGCTTGGGAAAAAAATCCCGATTTATTCTGAGTTTCCACAATAAATCAAAACTGGAACACAACATTTCAATTGGTTACATCTGGTTCAATCCTAACCAGAGCTTCAAAATGTGTTCTATAAAAAGGATTTTCATTTCTAGAAATTGATTTTCCTTTCAGATGTTTGAAAGCCTTTTCTCAGGATGCTGAAATGGTAATTTCAGGAATTTTTCCTGTTTGATTTCCCCATTCTCACCTGTCTTCCATGGAGTCCTCCCTCCTGTAGGGTGAGTTCCTGATGGTGATTTCCATGCGATGGTCCCTCAGCTCCCCCTCCTCAAGAGAATCCCTCTTGGAGTCCCTGTCATCTGACTGAGGGGACAGGGGAAAATCCATTCATTTCTATGTTCAAAATGAATAAAAATTCAATATTCCTGAAGCCTTCCACTGCTGGCTCAAACATTCAGCCTGGACTGGTCACTGCTGTCAAATCCATTGACTTGTGACAGCAGCACCTTGAGCTGAGGTGCATTAATTTGAGATAATTGGAGACAATTAAACAATGAGGAGGAGTGTAGTAATTATTGAGTGGTATTTTCTGCAATAATTATTTTGCACACAGAAAAGTGATTCCAAACTCATCATTTTAACCCATTCTTCTGTAAAACCTTTAAAAGTTATTCCTTCAACTGCAAGGCCCAGTTGATTACTTTATTTATACAAATATTTATATTTTTATTTATTTAAATTAATTAATTTTTTTAAACATTGATTATTGCATATAATTATAAATAATTATCTAAATTTAAATTAACTACATTGTTTTTTTTTCCTGAACAATAACCAGACAGGAAGATAAAATTTATGCCAAACCCATCATTTCAACCCATTCTTCTGTAAAACCTTTAAAAATTGTTCCTTCAACTGCAAGGCCCAGTTGATTACTTTATTTATATTTATCTTTATTTATTTTATTTATTTAAACATTGATTATTGCATATAATTATAAATAATTATCTAAATTTAAATTAATTACATTGTTTTTTTTTTTCTGACCAATAACCAGACAGGAAGATAAAATTTATTCCAAACCCATCATTTTAACCCATTCTTCTGTAAAACATTTAAAAGTTATTCCTTCAACTACAAGGCCCAGTTGATTACTTTATTTATATTTATTTTTATTTATTTTATTTATTTAAATATTGATTATTGCATATAATTATAAATAATTATCTAAATTTAAATTAACTACATTGGTTTTTTTTTTCTGACCACTAACCAGACAGGAAGATAAAATTTATTCCAAACCCATCATTTCAACCCATTCTTCTGTAAAACCTTTAAAAATTGTTCCTTGAACTGCAAGACCCAGTTGATTACTTTATTTATATATATTTTTATTTATTTTATTTTATTTATTTAAACATTGATTATTGCATATAATTATAAATAAATATCTAAATTTAAATTAACTACATTGTTTTTTTTTCCCTGACCAATAACCAGACAGGAAGATAAAATTTATTCCAAACCCATCATTTTAACCCATTCTTCTATAAAACCTTTAAAAGTTATTCCTTGAACTGCAAGACCCAGTTGATTACTTTATTTATAATTTTTTTTATTTTTATTTATTTAAAATTAATTTATTTTATTTATTTAAACATTAATTATTGCATATAATTATAAATAATTATCTAAATTTAAATTAACTACATTGGGTTTTTTTTCTGACCAATAACCAGACAGGAAGATAAAATTTATTCCAAACCCATCATTTTAACCCATTCTTCTGTAAAACCTTTAAAAATTGTTCCTTGAACTGCAAGATCCAGTTGATTACTTTATTTATATATTTTTTTTATTTTTATTTATTTAAAATTAATTTATTTTATTTATTTAAACATTAATTATTGCATATAATTATAAATAATTATCTAAATTTAAATTAATTACATTGGTTTTTTTTTCCTGAACAATAACCAGACAGGAAGATAAAATTTATTCCAAACTCATCATTTTAACCCATTCTTCTGTAAAACCTTTAAAAATTGTTCCTTCAACTGCAAGACCCAGTTGATTACTTCATTTATATATATTTTTATTTTTATTTATTTTAACAATTATTGCATATAATTATAAATAATTATCTAAATTTAAATTAATTACATTGGTTTTTTTTCCCTGACCAATAACCAGACAGGAAGATAAAATTTATTCCAAACCCATCATTTTAACCCATTCTTCTGTAAAACTTAATTGTTTTAAACTTTAAAAATTGTTCCTTGAACTGCAAGTCCCAGTTGATTATTTATTTTTATTTACATATTTTAATTTATTTAAAATTAATTTAATTTAAATATTAATTATTGTACATAATTATATATAATTATCTAAATTTAAATTATTAATTAAATAATTTATTCATCTTTTCTGACCAATAACTATAAGAAATCACAGGATATAATGCAAGACCAATGAAATCTTCACAAAGCATCACATTCCTGTTAAACTTTGGAATCAGAGACCACACAGAAAAAACTTCAGCTGACAGAGCATCAGAAAAAATCACCAGAAAATGAGGACACAGGCAGTGCACCCCATTAAAATGCAGTTTTCTATTAATAAAGCAAATAATTCAATTAAATGAGTCCCAAAGGGCAGCTTACATTTTTCATACGTTTGATCTCTGCCTTCTCCTCTTGCTCCTTCCTTCGTTTCTTCTCCTGGAGAATCTCATCTAAAGTCTTCACCTTCCAAGAATCCTTTTCATCACCCATTTGAGTTCAAAGAAACACCCTCTGTAAGAGAAGGAGACATTGCCAAACCCCACAAATAAATGGAAATAAATCCATTGTACACCCATTTATTTATTGTTCTGGTTTTGAGTAAAGCCACGACAGAGTTGATTTATGGTGGACCAAAAATGTTGGTTTTAAACCCAAAGGAAAGACTCTGAAAGAGCTCAGGGAGCTGCTGAAGGGCACAAAAACCAATTTATTTACATTTAATAATGACCTGAGGGAACAAAGCCTGGGGAAAAAGGACACAAAGAATGCAGAATTTATGGGATATGAGGCAGAACAGCTGAGAGAAGGAAGAAAATAATGAAGCCAACTGTGCCAAAAGCAGCTGTCACCGAGGAGAAGGTAATTCCAGCACACCAGCTAATTAGCATGAGAAGAAGAAGAATAATTAACCCATAGAAGACAGAATATTTAGGTTTGCTGATAAACGAAATTAGACATTGAGAGATGAAAGAAACGATGGGGAAGAAAAACCCCTAAATTCCATAAGAATTAAAAATGAAAAGGGAGGGTTATACATTAGAGAAAAACTTTGGTATCAGGAAGTCTGAACCTCTCAAGTACCTCAGAAATGGGGAAAAACCCCTAAATTCCATAAGAATTAAAAATGAAAAGGGAGGGTTATACATTAGAGGGGGATCTTTGGTATCAGGAAGTCTGGACCTCTCAGGTACCTCAGAAATGGGGAAGAAAACCCCTAAATTCTGTAAGAATTAAAAATGAAAGGGAGGGTTGTACACTAGAGGGAAATCTTTGGGATCAGGTGTTTTGGGCACTCTCAAGTACCTCAGAAATGGGGAAAGAGAGAAGGGAAAAAAATAAATTGGAGAAACCCCAGGCCCCATGGCCTCTCCCTTTATTGGAATAAAGCAAAAAGGGACTCCTGTGTCTCCTTTTGGGACATAAACCTCCCCTCAGAGCCCCCGGTGTGCCCCCAGCCCCGGGTGTCCCCTCAGAGGCCTCGGTGCCCCCCCGGTGTCCCTTCAGCGGCCCCGGTGCCCCCTCTGAGCCCCTGGTGTCCCCTCAGCAGCCCCGAGGGTCCCCGCGGTGTCCCCTTAGAGGCCCGGGTGTGCCCTCAGAGCTCCCAGTGTCCCCTCAGCAGCCCCGGTATCCGCTCAGAGCTCCCGGTGTCCCCCCAGCCGCGGGTGTCCCCTCAGAGCCCCGGTGTCCCCCCGGTGTCCCCTCAGCGCCCCCCGGCCCCGCTCACCGCCGCCGCCACCGGGGACTGCGAGCAGCCGCGCGCGGGTCACGCGTCACTTCCGCCCGCCGTCGCGGGACGATGACGTCAGCGCCGCCTCACGGCGCCGTAATTAACGCGAATCGTTAATGAGGCGTTAATTGAGCGCCGCCCGTCAGAACGGCCGGGCTGAGGGGCGTTAATGAAGCCGCGGGATGTGGCGGGGCAGCGATGAACGCAGCGAGCGGAGGCGTTGTCAGCACTGGGCCGCATTTAATTCCACATCAATTAAAGCGCGGAGTTTGATTGAATAAATTAAATTTGAATAAATTAAATTTGAATAAATTAAATTTGATTGAATAAATTAAATTTTATTGAATAAATGTAATTGAATAAATTTGATTCCAACCAAAAAGCTGCAATTCTTACATGGAAATGAGTGAGAGTGCGAGGGAGGAGGTGACAGAGGTGACACGGCCCAGAACAGCAAAGATCCCTAATTATGATCTCTAAAATCACTAATTATCCATCCCCCATTGGAAATATGAGAATATAAGGGGAAATAACGATATAAAATGGGAAATAATGGGATATAATGGGAATAATGAGAATTTAGAAGCACAGGGAGTGCTGTGACACCTTCCACCTGCACCTCGGTGTATCAGGAATCCATATTTAAGGAAAACAAACACCCTCTGAGTGAATTAAAAATGTAAAATAAATAAAATGCACAGCTTCAGAGCTCATCTTCATCACAGGTACCTGGGTGTAGCCATGAGAAATGCAGGGAAACTCGAAAATGTTCCCAAAAATTCGATTTTTTTGTCACAGGAAGAGCTGGGGTGGAAAATTCTTAACAAAGAGCAAAAAGTTCCTTGTTTACACAAGAGAAAAGAAGATTTACTGGTCTGACTGGAGAATAAAAAGGCTTTTGGTTTGTTTAATTGAAGGAAAGCAAAGGCTAAAAAGATGGCAAAGAAAAATCCACAAAGGAACAAAGCCCAGTAGAGCAGGAGGGGTTAAAATCCCAATCCCAAATCGTCCCAGGATCACAGAAAAACAAAAACCTGCTGGGATTTTTTAAAAATAATTTTAAATGATGGGATTTATGTGAGAGCAGAGCCACCTAAAGCAGAAATAGGACACAAACCACACTTTTTTTCGGTTTTCCTTTTTTTAGTTACGCTTTCAAAAATCTCAGTGTATTTGGCAGAAAAGAAATTAAAAAAAACCCACAGAGCTCCACAGTCCACAGCTTTTATAAAAGTGACAGGAGTACAAAAGAAAACAAAATACCACAGACATATCACATACACAAGGATGAAAAAATTGGCATTTTTCTCCCTCAGATCTTTGGGGAATCTGCCCCAGGCAGCCACTGAGGTGTGGAAATGTGATTTTACAGGAATTCCAGTTGTAATTTCCTGATAACCATTATTTTTACCATTATACATCCATGCTCCAACCTTCAATTATTAAAATGCACTCATTTTAATTTAAATTTTGTTCCCAAAAATTCCATGTGAATGTTTTTGTAGCTACATGTGTGCTTCTTTTGGTTTTTGGTCAAAACTGACTGTTCAAAAGGAAAATGAACTTTTAATCTTTGATCTACCACAAAAAACAAATTTCCTTTAAAAAAAAAGGAAACTTAAAAGCAGCAGAAATAAAGATTTGCCTCAGTTTATGGTTAATATCCCTCCCATCTGTAACAGATGCATCTGAGATTTCTTTATTAACCAGAAATTAGATATTTTACACACAGGTCAGACTCATAACCCTGAGTTTCTAAAAGGCAGCCTTTTGTTGCACTCTTAGAAATAATATAAAAAAACCCATCAATTTCTTGCCTCATGCATAAAAAAATGAAATTAAAACAACAAAATATTTTTTTACAGAAATACAGAGATCCTGCTTCCTTTGCCACCACAATTTTCAGTGGCTTTTTTTTACCTCTAAGCAACTACAAATACTGAATTCAACACTCCATTTACACAGGGTATGTGTGTGAATATTTGCATTTCAGTTTTGTCAATAAATGATCAGAATGCAATATTTCCACATTACATTTTTACACTTTAAACCACTACAAATCCTGGATTTGTAGCCAGCAGCAGGAGCTCACCACAGCTCATTTCCCACAGTTTGCTTCAATAAAATTGGGGTTTTTTTTTGGGAAAGGGTGGGAATTCCAATCCCTCTTGGAATTCTGGAATCTCCTGAGTGGGAGGGGACCCACAAGGACCATCCAGTCCAACTCCTGCCCTGCACAGAAATCAAAATCCACCCCAAAATCCACCCCAAAATCCCTTCTTGTGCTGTCACAATGTTCCTGGAGCTCTGCAGGGTTTGGGGGCCCTCAGGGCTTGAGGTGAGGCCCGAGTGGGACAAATTCCCTCCTTGGACTCTTCCATCTCTGCACCACACCTCAGGAATGAGGGAGAACACCCAGAAACTTCCACGAGGCACCAACTGCACCCCTCTGCCAGCAGAATTCAGTGGTGGGGCCCCATTTTCACATTGTTTGGATGGGGAGGAAACAGGAATTGTTTTAATTGTTTTCCCACAGGACACCAAGCAGCACAGGCTTGGGTGTGATCTGGTGTAAGACACGACAATTTGGAGTTAAGGAAAGACAACAAAGCCCAAGTTTGCCACGTTCCAGGTCCTCTCTTTGGGCTATCAGGTTCCTGAATCCTTCCCAGCTCCTTTCTGCTTCAAATCCTGGATGAGACCTGCCAGGAACTCAGAGGAACCAGAGGAACAACCACAACCAGGAGGAATTCAGGAATTCAGAGGAACAACCACATCCAGGAGGATTTCAGGAACTCAGAGGAACAACCACATCCAGGAGGAATTCAGGAACTCAGAGAGGAGGATTTGAGGAAGAACCACATCCAGGAGGAATTCAGGAACTCAGAGGAACAACCACATCCAGGAGGAATTCAGGAACTCAGAGGAACAACCACATCCAGGAGGATTTGAGGAACTCAGAGAAGAGGATTTGAGGAACTCAGAGGAAACTAAGGAACAACCCCATCCAGGAGGATTTGAGGAACAGCCACATCCAGGAGGATTTTAGGAACTCAAAGAACCAGAGGAACAAGCCCATCCAGGAGGATTTCAGGAACTCAAAGGAACTTGAGGAACAAGCCCATCCAGGAGGATTTGAGGAACTCAAGGAACCAGAGAACAGCCACATCCAGGAGGATTTGAGGAACTCATAGGGGAGGATTTGAGGAACGAGCCCATCCAGGAGGATCTCCATGGAGCCACGCTTGGCTGTTTCTAATTAACCCATCAGTCATAGGGCTCCAGCTCCTTGGGGACGAGGGGCTCGGTGTCCTCGGTGGGCCCTGGGGGCTGTGGGGCCATGGCCAGGCTCTGCAGGGTCTCCTGCTGGTGCTGCTTGGCCTTGTTGTAGAGCAGGACGCCCACGGTGACCAGGACGGTGCCCACGGCCGACAGGCTGGTGATCTTGTTCCCAAAGACAATGATGCTGAGCCAGATGGACAGGGCGTGTTTGACAGTGCTGGCAACGCTGCGGGGACAGCGGGGACATCAGGGGACAGCAGGGGATGTGAGGGGACAGCAGAGACAGCAGGGGCTGTGAGGGGACAGCAGGGACAGCAGGGGCTGTGAGGGGACAGCAGGGGACACTGGGGTTGTGAGGGGACATGGGGAATGTGAGGGGAGATGAAGGGACATGGGGGATGTGAAGGGACATTGGAAACGTGAGGGGATGTGAGGGGACATTGGGGACGTGAGGGGACATTGGGGATGTGAAGGGACATGAAGGGACATTGGAAATGTGAGGGGACATTGGGGATGTGAAGGGACATTGGGGACGTGAGGGGACATTGGGGACGTGAGGGGACATTGGGGACGTGAGGGGACATGAAGGGACATTGGGGACGTGAGGGGACATTGGGGACGTGAGGGGATGTGAGGGTTCACTGGGGACGTGAGGGGACATTGGGGACATGAGGGTTCACTGGGGATGTGAGGGGACAGCAGGGGACATTGGGGATGTGAAGGGACATGAAGGGACATTGGGGACGTGAGGGGACATTGGGGACACTGGGAATGTGAGGGGACGTGAGGGGACGTGAGGGGACATTGGGGACGTGACGGGACATGAAGGGACGCTGGGGACGTGAGGGACATTGGGGACGTGAGGGACATTGGGGACGTGAGGGACATTGGGGACGTTGGGGACGTGAAGGGACGTTGGGGACGTGAAGGGACACTGGGGACGTGAGGGGACGTGAGGGGACATTGGGGACGTGAGGGGACGTGAGGGGACACTGGGAATGTGAGGGGATGTGAGGGGACATTGGGGACGTGAGGGGACGGCAGCTCTGCCACATCCCACATCTGCTTTAATGTCGGCCTTGCCCCCAAACACCACCTGAAATTCCACGTCCAACTCCCACCATCCCATGATTCCCCTCATCGATTTCTTTGCAAAAAAAATTAATTTTCCTTTTTTTTTAGCACCACCTGAAACTCCACTTCCATCGCCATCCATCCTGGAATTCCCCTCATTCATCTCTTCACTAAACACCTGAAGTTTTACCCGATTTTTTTAAACATCACCTCAGACTCCATTTCCAACCCCAACCTTTCTGTGATTCCCCTCATTGATTTCTTTGCAAAAACCTTAATTTTCCTTTTTTTTAGCACCACCTGAAATTCCACTTCCAGCCCCAACCATTCTGTGATTTACTTCATTAATTTCCTTGCACAATACCTTAATTTTCCTTTTTTTTTAACACTACCTCAGATTCCACTTCCAGCCCCAGCCATGCTGTGATTTACCTCATTAATTTCTTTGCAAAATATCTTTAGTTTTCTTTTTTTTTTAAACACCACCTGAAATTCAACTTCCTGAAAAGGAATATAAAATAATGTTCCTGCCAAAAAAATAGAAAACAATGTTCCTGACCAAAAAATTATAAAAATGGTGTTTCTGGCAAAGAAAAAAAAAAAATAAAATAACGTTCCTGAAAAGGAATATAAAATAGTGTTCCTGACCAAAAAATTATAAAAATGGTGTTTCTGGCCAAAAAAAAAAATATAAAATAACATTCCTGAAAAGGAATATAAAATAATGTTCCTGACCAAAAAAATAGAAAATAATGTTTCGGATTTAAAAAAAAATATAGAAAATAATGTTACCTGATCAAAAAATACAAACCAGTGGTTTTGATCAAAGAAAATTAAATCATGTTCCTGATGAAAAAATAGAAAATAAAGCTGAATTTTACCTGAAAGTGACAGGGGAGATTTTGCCCATCAGGGCATAGGCTGTGACACTCTGCAGGTGGAACAGGACCCCATCAATCAGCAGCAGGATTACAATGTCCTGGTTGTAGCTGAAGCTTCTCCCACTTTTCCCAATCACAGGCACGTCCTAAATTACCAAAAAATACAAAAACAGAAAAAGAATTTAAGGGTTTAGTTCATAAAAAAAAAATCTAGAAGTGATTTTCCACCCAACTGTTGGAAGCAAAGTTTTACATTTAAATTTTAGCCCAATAAAACTTAAAACATACAGGAAATTTAAGTCTCAAAAAGACATTCAGACCCTGTAATGTTTTCTACAAAAAAATTTAAAAAATTGCACATCTTAAAATTAAAAAAAACCAGGAATTTAATTGTTTAGTTCATGAGAAAAATCTAAAAGTGATTTTCCACCCAACTGTTAGAAGCAGAGAGAGTTTTACATTTAAATTTTAGCCCAATAAAACTTAAAACATACAGGAAATTTAAGTCTCAAAAAGACATTCAGACCCTGTAATGTTTTCTACAAAAAAATTAAAAAAATTCAGATCTTAAAATGAAAAAAAAAGGAATTTAATTGTTTAGTTCATGAGAAAAATCTAGAAGTGATTTTCCACCCAACTGTTAGAAGCAAAGTTTTACATTTAAATTTTAGCCCAAAAACATACAGGACATTCAGATCCTGTCATTTTTCTCCAAAAAAATTTTGCTTTCAGAGTTGATATTCCTGTGCTCAACATGAATCTCAAAAAAAACCCAACAAATATTCCAGATTTTCTTTGCAAGTCTTTATCTCAAAGCTCAAATGCACTGAGACAAAATCATGATTTGAACCCAAAAATGCTGATATAAATTCAGGTTTTGGATGAACTCATGTCTATATTAAATGATTTCTTTTATAAATTTCTCTTTTTTGCAATCTCTTGCAGATACTGGATGAATTATATTTCAGGCTGATTTTTTTTAAAAATCAAAATTTAATTTTTCAAATATTTTTTTTTAATGGGAAGGATAAAAGGTAAAAATTAAGATTAAACTTTCTTGCACATTCTGCTCACAATTAAAAATACCCAAAACCTAAATTAATTTAAAAAAAATCCCTAAATTCATTAAATAATGAATTTAAATTACCATGAAAAATATCCAAGCTGGAATGAGCATAACCACAGCAGCAGCACTTGTGTAGAACTGAAGCTCTGGGGCTCTACAAAGGAGAAAAATAATATTAAAACTTAAAAAAAAAAATAAAATATTAAATTAAAACTTCATTTTCCAAAGCAAAGACAGAGGGTTGCTCTCAGGGACTGAAGCTGAAAGGCCCAAAAAACCAAAAGCAGCTTTTTATTTCATGGTAAAATACAAATATGTTATTAAAGGAGGTTTTTAGCACAAGAATTTACTCTTGGTTTAAGTTCCAGAGTTAAAAAGTTTTCTGCACAGCCAGCAATGTTAGGGATGGTTTCTGATTGCAGAGTAAAGACTGACTGCTGTGAAAATATTATTTTGGGGGCTTGAATTTATATTTTTAAATATTTATAACATCTTTAAAAATTGAATATACAATAATTTAAAAAGATTTGCATTATATATTAATAATATTAATATAATATATATAAATATTTTATAAATACCTACAATTATATATAACCATACATAGTTATATAAATATATATATTTATATAAATATTAAATTTTTCTTATGTTGCTATTTTTAAGTATTTATTTCTGGGAGTTGTAGCTGATTATAAAACTTGCAGTGGGAGCTCAGGGGAGTTTTCTTACCCTGATAAAATCATCAGAAGTGATGAGATTTAAACCTTGGTGCAATACAATGATGAATATTTTATTTATTTATGCATCCCTAATAGAACCAAACCTGAAATATTCTGAATACTTACGAAAATCTGTATTTATCTCCACTGAGCAGTTTTTTGGAAAAGACGTTTTGCAAACTAGAGAAGATAAAGAAAAAAAAATTAAATATTAACAAAAAAATTTAATTTTTTTAAATGTAAAAAAAAAAGGCAATTTTTTAAAATGAAAAATTTAGAAATATTAAAAAAAAAATTAAAATCCACCATTTAGCTGTGTTTTAATTAGGACAAATCAATCAATTCATCAATCCTCAGGTGGATAAATGTTTCTACAAATAATGTTCCTTAGGTGGATAAATGTTTACAAATAATGTTTGTTAGGTGGATAAATGTTTACAAATAATGTTCCTTAGGTGGATAAATGTTTACAAATAATGTTTGTTAGGTGGATAAATGTTTCTACAAATTATGTTCCTTAGGTGGATTAATGTTTCTACAAATAATGTTCCTTAGGTGGATTAATGTTTCTCAAATCATGTTTCTTAGGTGGATAAATGTTTACAAATAATGTTTGTTAGGTGGATAAATGTTTACAAATAATGTTTCTTAGGTGGATAAATGTTTACAAATAATGTTTGTTAGGTGAATTAATGTTTACAAATAATGTTTGTTAGGTGGATTAATGTTTCTACAAATAATGTTCCTTATGTGGATAAATGTTTCTACAAATTATGTTTGTTAGGTGGATTAATGTTTCTACAAATTATGTTTGTTAGGTGGATAAATGTTTACAAATAATGTTTCTTATATGGATAAATGTTTCTACAAATAATGTTCCTTATATGGATAAATGTTTACAAATAATGTTCCTTAGGTGGATAAATGTTTACAAATAATGTTTCTTAGGTGGATTAATGTTTCTACTCTTTCTACAAGCACAGAAAGGAGTTTTTATTTAATTAAGCCTAATTAAGCTTCATTATTTAATCTCAATAATGCTGTTAGACACAAGAGAATAACTAAGAATAATTTCTAATTTTTCACAATACTTGATTAAAAGCCCATTTTCAATGCCAACATTCAATGCAGTGTCCACAATGAGCCGTGTTAAACACTTTGCTTTCCTCTCCCAATTCCATGAATTGCTCGTGCCCTTGGCCCCAGCTGCTCACCAGTCCATGATGTTGGTGGACAGCGCTGCAGAGAAGCCCAGGATGTTGAAGCTGATTTCAGTGGCCGTGCACAGAGCCAGGCCCCCCATCACAGGGACCAGGGAGAGATTCACCAGCAGCCCTGCAGGGACAAGGGACAAAATCACCGGTTCCTTCTGTGGTTGGGAGAATTTGGAATTCTCAACAGCAAGGAAAAAGGGCCACGAGGAAATTCAGTTTATTCAAGCCACAATCATTTCTTGACAGAAAAAATAACAACAATCCCCTTCCACCAAATCCTTTTAATTCTACTTGTTGGAGATTCTTCCAGAGGCATTTCTTATATTTTATATGATACATTTTATTTTATATATATATATATATAAATATATATATATATAAAATATTTTACGTATTATATATTATCTATATAATATATTACATATTACATATATTATATGTAACATATGGTATCCATAATATATATTATATATTATAAATATAATAAAATATATCATAATAAAAGATGGTATAATTTGATATTATACAATATAATGATGTACCATCATGATATAATGATATAACATGATATTATATAATATATAACATATAAAATGTAATATATAATATATAACCTATAACCTATAAAATGTAATATGTAATATATAACCTATAAAATGTAATATGTATAATGTAATATATAATAGGTAAAATATATGTAATATAGATAATATGTAATATATAATGTGCAATATAGATAATATGTATTATGTGGCAATATATAATATATATAATATATATAATACGTCTTATGTGGTAATATATAATATATAATATATAATACATAATATATAATACATAATATATTATATAATATATAATGACTATTGAAAAATGACTATTGAAAAATGACTATTGAAAAATGACTATTGAAAAATGACTATTGAAAAATGACTATTGAAAAATGACTATTGAAAAATGAATATTGAAAGATGAATATTGAAAAATGAATATCTACATCATATATGATATTCTTACGTTCTATTTATTATATTTTATTAATTTTAGTGGCCAGACTTTCACCACAGCCCATAAAAAAGAGATTACTGCAATCTCATTTCAGCCTCACCAGTGTATTCCCCCAGAATCATCCGGGACATGATGACAGTGAAGATGGGAGCTGAGCTCTTCACAGTCTCTGCAAATGAAACTGCCACATTCTTCAGGCTCACCAGCCCCAGCACCACTGTTGCAAATCTGCAGCAGGAGAAAAACCACAAGAAATTCATTTGAAAAATGAATGAATTCATCAGTGCACCAGAAGAAATTAAAATGATGCTTCAGGAGCTTCTCTTGGACACCCGGCACAGCAAGAATTGCTCTGTGATTTCTCCTGCCCCTGCAAGGTCAGATCTTTCAACTGAGGCTTAAACTTTATTTATTTAAAGCAAATAAAGGCACCCTTGGGCAATGTGGAATGTCTTTGGCTGCAGAGTGCATTTCCAGAACACAAATTTACTTTTTAACACCCTCCAAGGTTCAAGTGACCATTTTTTAAGTCCAAGTTTTCAACAGGCTCAGTTCAAAGAGTGAAAATCTGAGAAGCAGAAATTCACCAAGGAAACCTTATCTGCAGTTATCCATCTTTAGTGTAAATTAGATATGCTACCTAATTACCACAGTTTAAACTCTGAAATTAATTGAATTTATCACTTATTTGATTTTCTTTATCAGTTTTGCAGGGCAGAGGAAACAAAACCAGGCATTTTTATTCCCTCCTCCACCACAAACTAACACAACCCCAGCACCCAGCAAATATTTACTTTTCAAAAGATAAATTTGAATAGCCTGGATGACTTTTGAGGCAAAAGGCTGATAAATATTAATGCACTCAACAAACATCAGCCTCAAAAGAGAGCAAGAAGAAAATAAATGGAAATAGAAGTGAGGCCTGAAAAAATGGGCCAAAAAAATGACATCTGGGTAAAGGAACAGCAAATGAAAATAAGATTATTCTGGGCTATTTCTTAGGAGGGGAGGACACAAGAACAGAACTTTGGCTTGAAAAAGCAGAAATATTAGCAAAGATAGAGCAGGGAATGTTTTTTATTTGCCTCATTAATCCAACAAAGAGCATGATCATGATGAAATTTGGGGGGTAGGAGATCCTGGTCTTGTGCTGGTACAGACAGCAAGGGACAAACATCTTGATGCAGCCAATGAAGGTGGTGGAAAGCATCTGAACAGCACCTGAAAAAGGAAAAGAGAGGGGAAATCCAGTCAGATCCCAAGCTGGAACACAACAAATGAATTGCCACGAGGAAATCTCTTACACAAACATCTCTGTGGTGGTTTTGGCAGTGTATGTTTTATATAATCTCACAAAAGCCCTTTGCTTCTATAAACCCAACGTTTATAAACCTGGTTCCCAGATAAAGTGTTCTTTGTTTGCCTCTTAAGAAGAAGAGGAAAAAAAAAAGAACTAAAATATTGATATTTTAGTTGATATTTTAGGCCATTGATAACAGAGATCACCAAAGGCAATTCTTGCACTGCACAGCTCTGGGGAGCATCAACAATTTACTCAAAATTTGACTTTTTGTTAAACCCTCCAGCAGAGAAAAACTAAAAAATTACTTTATTTTTTTTTCCTCTTAAAGCTCCTCTACAAGGAAAATTTCATCTTTCAGCACGTGGAGGAAAGGACAGTGTCAGAAACCACTTTAAAGGCCAAAATCCCAAGATCCCTTCCAAACCAAACATTTTTCACTTCAATTGACCCATTCTCTCCCTCAGCTTTAGATGGGATGATCTGGAATTGTGAATCACAGGATGATGGAACTTTAAAGGCCAAAATCCCAAGTTCCCAGCCCCAAGATCCCTCCCTGCACCTTCCAAACCATTTTTCACTTCAACTGAACCATTCTCTCCCTCAGTTTTATATGGGACAATCTGGAATTATCAATCACAGGATGATGGAACACCCTGAGCTGGAAGGGATCACCCAGCCCAATTCATCCCTGCACTGACACCCCAAAAACCCCACCCTGTTCCTGCCAGCATTACCCAACTGCTCTGGGAGTTTTTTGGGGCTCCCATTCCATTACATAAACCCATTTCCCCCTGGAATTGAGGAAAAGCAGGGTACCAAGCATGCTGGGCTCTCCCTCCAGCAAGGACAGGATGTATTTGTTGAGGAACAGAGTGCAAAAGCTGAAGAAGAACCAGAGAGTGAGGTAGATGAGGGCGTGGGAGTTCCAGATGCCCAGGTCAGACTCGATGACCGTGGTCTCTGTGATTGTGATTTTCAGGACATTTTCCTCTGGCAAGCTGTCACTGCGAGCAATCACAAATTTCTCACTCCTGTTAGCAAAGAGGGAGCCCAGCTGGAACAGGGATTTCCCTTTTGGCTTCTCCTCCAGCTGGGGAGGGCTCGGGGCCTCTGGGGTCAGGGCGCTGCTCATGGCGAGGTGCAGAAATCAAGATTTCCAAATATTCCTGGTCCTTCACGCAGAGCAAGGCTGAGAAAGCACTTGTTGAAATAAAAACGTCATGTGGTCAATGCTTCATCTCCCAGGGGCCTGGAAAACTGGGTTTGGTCCTTCAGAGAACATCCTGTAGGAATAGGAACTCCACAGGATCCTTCATGTGGGCTGCTCCATGTTTTCTGCCTGAGGGGAGGAAAAAAAGGAAAAAAAAAAGATGTGTGACATTTTATATCCCTAATGCAGCAAAGACAGCACGTTTCACCTGCACTGCATGAAAGATAAAGAGACTTCTGTAATCCCTCTGGCTGGATTTTGAACTCCTGATGCCTTCATGCCAAGATTAAGCAAAAAGAACTAATCTTAGGGAGGTTTTTTATTCTAAAATAGCACCCACCCACCCACCAGACTTTGTGGTTTTCTGTCCTTTTCCCTCTGGAGCACCTCAACACAGCCTTTCCAATTATAACTAACTCCTCTTCCAGATTCCACAGTGCCTTTGATCTCAGTCTGGCTTGAAACACTCCCCAGAAAAATCTTCCCAGCCCAGCAAATCCAGATTAATTAACCTGTAATCAGCCTGAGCCAAAGAGAACAATAATCAAGGGCTGTAACTCCCAGTAATCCCAGGGCTACCCTGGTAAATGTATCCAGGTGAAAAAAGCAGGGAAATACGTCCAAGAGCTTTCCAGAGTGGTTATCTATTAAATTACATGGGAATAATGCAACATTCCTCATTTTGCTACACCTTCCAATCCAATATTAGCACGTGCAACTAATTCTTAAAGCCTTTTTAACAGATTTGGCAGCAAAAGCATTAAATGATTTGCAAGCAGAGCATTTTCCTTTTACAAATCACACAAAATGTGGCAAGTTACAGTAGCAGAGCAGAGGGAACAAGAAAACCACCCTGGGAAAGAAAGAGAAATACAAGAGATCCAACAAGAGCTACTGCACCTGCCCTGATTTTTTGACCAGTTCATTCTAGTTAAGGTTTTATTTTTAATGCTTTTTAAATGCCCAGTGTGGCACCTCAAATAAATCACAAAGAGGAACTGAGGAGTTCAATATCTGGTGTCAGTCTCAGTATCCTAACACAGCAGCTGCTTGAAATGTGAAATTTTCCATTCCTCACATTCTCTGGTTACTACAGCCATGCACTGAAGATTTCCATCCCCCTGCCCTTATCTCTTCCCGTTTTTCCAGGAATTCATGCCAGCAGCACACTGAGGAATGGTCAGTGATCACATTAAATGATCACATTAAACCACAAACCTGTGCTAACCCAGTTTAGCACAAAACTCTGAAAAAAGAGACACGTTCTCCAAGAGAATTTGCTCAGAAAAATGGATTCTTGACTCCTCCTCCTTTTCCAGGTCACTAAAAAATACCCCTCTACATTCCAAATAGTTAATTATCAGAGTTTTTTTTTCTGTTTATACAAGTTAATTAAGCACAACCAAAGCCCCACCCTCAGCAGCGCTGTGATATCAGCTTTGATATCAGCTTTGATATCACTGATTCCACGCACGGCACAGAGCAGAACAGCAAACAACAACAAAATTACTCCCCTAAATTACTGACCTGCTGGCTTTAATCAACTGGAAAGTCTAAATGGGCTGAAAGAGTTCTCCATCTGGAACTAATTCAGTCTTCCTCCCTCAAGGCCAACCAGCAGCTGATGTTTACCAACAGATGAAAACGTGGCAATGGTTGGCAGTTGTTTCTCTTGGATTACTCACAAAGAACCAGCAGTGCGAGTGCCTCTCACTCTCCTTGTACCTTCTCCCACTCTTAACTCCACTCCTAGTAAAAATTATGGTGGAAAAAATATCCACGGAGAACTTTAGAAAGTCGGCTTTCCACAAATAGAAACTAAAGCTGAAATTTGTTGCAAGGGCTGGAGAAGCTGAGGTTGCTGTGACAGTGAAAAACCAAAGGTTTGTGTCCATGACCCTTCATCTGTTATGCTAAAGGTCACTCAAACATTGCTCCCATTGCAGCAAAAGCACAAAATCCAGCACCCGGAGCAAGCCTCGCTCTTTAACACCGCTTCGCTAATGGCAACGAGAGCATCCAAGGTGTTACAAACACCGCAAATAGACCAGAAGAGGCTGAAAGACTGGAACAGCCCAGCCCTTTGTGCCACTCCAGCTGTGTTTCTGCTCACCCACTGCCCGAGCATTCCCAATGACGCTCCATCCCCATCCCCATCCCCGGTGCCCGCAGCTCCCTCGGCATCCCCCGCACCGCAGCGGCTTCGGAGCCCTCCCGGGAGCACCGAGACCCTTCCGGCCCATCCTTCGGGCCCAGGGGCTCCCAGCACGGCGATCGCCCTGCCCGGGCCCGGATCGGATCCTCCTCTGCGGCTCGTCCGCCGCTCCCATCCCTGCATCCCTCCCTCCATCCCTCAGCGCATCCCGGCCGGCACCTGCGCTCCGCGCTCGCTGCTGCCGCAGCCCCGGCGCTCCCACGGCTCCGGCAGCACCGAGCTCCGCTAACACCGGGCTCCGGCAGCGCCGGGCTGGGTAACACCGGCCTGGATAACACCGGGCTCCGGCAGCGCCGGGCTGGGTAACACCGGGCTCCGGCAGCGCCGGGCTCCGGCCGCTCATCCCCTGCCGTGCCCGGAGCCCCGCGCTGCAGAGCCGGGTCCGGCCGCGCACCGCCGGGCCCCGGGCTCGCCCCTTTGTCCCCGCGGCGGCGGGGAGGCCATTTTACCCAAAGCACGAGGAAACCGAGCCGAGCCGCGGGGGTTACGGGGCGCGCAGAGCCGCGCAGAGCGCCTCGCCGCGGGCCGCCCCTCCATCGAGCCGGGCGGGCTGCCCAGCGCCGAGGGGACCCCCGGGGCAGAGGGGCGGGAGCGCGGCGGCCCCGCCGCCCGGGAGGAGCCCGGCAGCGCTTCCCGCCCGTGCCGGGGAAGTGACGCGGGGCGGGCCGGCCCCGGAAGCGCAGCCGGGACCCCTCTGCAGCCATGTAGGGCCCGCGGCCGCCGCCATGGACGGCAGGTACGGGCGGGCCGGGCCGCACCACGCGCGGCGCGGGGGCGCCTCCACGCGCTCCCCCGGAGGCGCCCGTGTTGGGGATGGGGGGTCGCGGGCGGTTCCCCCCCGCGGTGGGGGTGGTACGGCCCCTGACGGCCCCGCTCTCTCTCCCACAGCGGCGCCGCGACTGCGGCGGGGCCGAGCCTGCCCAACCTCACCCCGCGGCACCGGCAGCTCATCCCCACGCCCTGCGGCCCCGTGAGTACATCGCCGCTGCTGCGGGCGGCTTGCCGCTGTCCTCCGCGCTTCTCTGCCCCGGGGGGGATGTGGAAAAACATGGCTTAAATCCGCTTGCGAAGTTAGGTGGAGCAGGGAGGTCCGCTCGCCGAGGCTTGGCACAGCTCTGCTGACAGCACCGTGGACTGTCCTGAGCTGGAAGGGACCCTCAGGATCATTGATCAGCTCCTGGGTCTGCTCAGTCACCCCAAAATCCCACCCTGGGCACCCCTGACAGCTCCTGGGACCCTCAGGATCATTGATCACCCCAAAATCCCACCCTGGGCACCCCTGACAGCTCCTGGGACCCTCAGGATCATTGCTCACCCCAAAATCCCACCCTGGGCACCCCTGAGAGCTCCTGGGACCCTCAGGATCATTGCTCACCCCAAAATCCCACCCTGGGCACCCCTGACAGCTCCTGCAGCCTCTGTGCCCATTCCTGGGCAGCCTGGGCAGTGCCCAGCACCCTCTGGGGGATGAACCTTTCCCAAAATCCATCCTGAACCCCCCTGGCCCAGCTCCAGGGGTTCCCTGGTGTGTCCCTGTCCCTGCAGCCCCTCAGGTCCCCCTCAGTCTCCTCCAGCTGAACAAACCAAGTGTTAAATCTCTGCCAGGATCTTGCTCCACCTGAAGTATTTTAATAAAATAAGAGGACTTTGCCTTCCTGGGAACGCTGACCCTGTATTTACACTTTTCTAAAAGTGAAAGTGGGGGAAAATGTTATTTCTGACAGGTGTGTATGTGGGCAGTGCCCATGTGGTGAGCTCTAACACCATGGCCTGTGAGGCACAAAGTCAGGCTGTGGGTATAACTTTATTTCATAATTAATCTCAGCCTAAATAGTCCTGGGTATAAAACAGGACGATCTAGGTTGAGATTCATTATGAAATAAAGTTACACTTCCCCCTTCCTCAGCAGTTTGGGGGTTTCAGTTCAATAGTGGAGTTTCTCTTCCCAAAGGAAACCCTGCCCTGTGTCATTTACCTCAATGTGATTTTTAGGAATATCAACGAGTTCATTCTGTGTGATGTGGTAAAGAATTTTCTCCCTTTACAGATAAAACCATGCTCAGAGCTCTCATTCCCTGTGAAGATCTACTTCTGTGTCACTATTTTGTCCCTGCTGAGTGTCATAGGGCTGACCATCGAGACTCTGGTGCGCCAGGCTGAGGAGGATTTCACCATTTCCTTTATTCAGCTGGTTGGAGCTGGTAAGAAACCCAGTTTGGGTGGAGGAAATAGTGAAAATAATAATGAAAATTAAAAAAATAAAAATGATGAAACAGTAATGAAAATAACGATAAAAATGAAAATAATGAAAATGGTAATGGAAACGAAAATAATGAAAATGAAAATGATGAGAATAGTGAAAATAATAATGAAAATAATAATAGTGAAAATGAAAATAATGAAAATAAAATAATAATAGTGAAAGTGAAAATAATGAAAATTATAATGATAATGAAAATGAAAATAAAATAATAATGAAAATAATATTGAAAATAATAATGAGAATAATAATGAAATATAATAGTACTACTACTAATAATACAATCTTGTGATCGAGCAGCAACTGAAATTTCTTATATAAGAGATACTGGATGTTCAGATTAATAATAGTAATAATAATAGTAATAATAATAATAATAGTAATAATAATAATAATAATAATAATAATAATAATACCTAATTATTTAGCTTCTTGTGTGCTAAACACAGCAGGGAGTGTTTTACTGACCTGACCTTGGTAAGAACCAAGAGCGAGGAGCCTCAGGGCCGCTCTGGGCCTTGGCTCTGGTGCAGAATTGGGAGTTTTGCCCAGTTGGAGCTGGCACTGACGTTCCCTCTCTCCCCAGTGTTCTGTGTGTACTATGTGAGCAGGGGCATCCTGCAGGAGAACCGCCAGGAGCTCGTGGTGTTCGTGCTCTCCATCCTGCTGCTGATGCTGCGCTCCATCATCAACTTCACCCTGCTCCCTGCTGGCCAGAAACAGCAGCTCCTGGTCAGTCCCTGCTCCTCCTCAGCTCTGCCTTCCCAAGCTGCCTGGGGCTGGAACTCAGCATTGGGAAGGCAGGATGGCTGTGGTAACACAGAGCATACTTTATTTTATATAGATAGATTTATTTATTTCTTATATATTTATATTAAAAAATCAAATATTATATATAAAATTATTATCTATTAAAATCAATTATTTTAATCATCTATTATGATTTTTAAAATTTTTATTTTTCTATTATTTTTATTATTCTATATTAATACACATTACTATATATTATTTTATTGTATATACTATATACTATTATCTATACTATATATACTATTTTGCATATGATTATTATATTTACCTCTGTATTAAATTCATATATGATATGATAAATATCATATTATATTCATAATTTATATGATATTTTATATATTTGTTTTATTATATATTATTTTATATTTTATTTATTATAGCATTTCTAGGATTTTGTTTATTTATTGTATATTATTATTTACATCTATATCTATTACTATATCTCATATATGAGATATAACAGATACATATCTATTGCTATATCCCATATATAAGAAATATTATATATTGTATATAATAGAAATATATAGAGATATAAATATATATAGATATAAATATACAGATAGATCTAATAGATAGAAATATATATATTATATATTTGTATTTATTTGTAGTTTTGGCATTTAAATGTTTGTATTTTAAATACAAAATTTGGTGGGTTTTTTGTATTTATTTTTGTATTTTTGTGGGTTTTATGTATTTTTGTTACTGATAACAGAGAATCAGGCTTAGTTATCCCTACTGCACAACAAAACATGCACAGCCACAAGTGCAAATCTTCTCTGAGCTGATCTCTGAGTTTCCTTATGGCAGCACCCAACAATAACAGAAATATCAAAGAATTACACAAAATTACTGCAGAGTTTGTCCTTCACTTCACCTGCCCTGCTTCAGCTCTCCCTCCCTCTGTGAAATGTCTGGCTGAAGTAAACAAATCTAACCCAGGCTAGGCATTACCCAGGGCTCTTAAATGTGATTTATGAGATTTCTGGGAACCTGCAAGGAAAGTGATGCCAGCCCAGGTTATCTTGTTTGCATTTCTTAGCAGTAAAATTCATTAAAGGATTGTATTCTAACCCTTACTAAGGTTTGGCATTAAATTCCCCCTTGCTGTGCTTCCAGGAAGTGCTTTCTCTTTATCCCATATTTCTCCAAAAGCTGTGAGGTCATCCAAAAATTCCTGTTCAGAAATGGCAGGGAGAGGAGCAAAGCAGCTTTGCCAGTTCATTTTCTTTATCATTCATTTTCTTTATCATTCATTTTCCTTATCATTCATTTTCTTTACCATTCAGTCTCTTTATCACCCAGTTAAACACACTTTACCTGCAGCAGGCTGGGTTGGTCAGGCCAATAAGGAAAAGGCATCAAAGCAATGCAGGTTCCTTTTAAGATGTACAACCAAGCCATCAGTTTAAGTATTAAACAAGAACTTCAAAGTAAAGCCTGCTCTGGATGTGAAAAGGAATTTTAGGGGTTTTTTTTACTGTTTTTTTTTTTTTACTAGCTGTAAAACTGTTTTTTTTTTACTGGTTTTTTTTTTACTAACTGTAACTTGGATTACTGTAACTCTGCTTCCTGAGCCAGAATCATTTCTAGTTATCAATATTTTCATATCAGTGTAACCTGTTGTATTTATGAGACAGGGAAGGAGTGATCAATCTGACTCCATGTTCTCAGCAGGCTAATTTGTTATTTTATATTAAACTATACTAAAGAATACAGAAAGGATACTTACTGAATGCTAAAAAGATAAAAATGAAAACTCCTGACTCTGGAGTCCAGGCACAGATTGAGTCAAGGAGTGAAAGCAGCTCCCAGCAGAACCCAACAAAAGAATCACCTGTGGGTAAACAATCCCCAAACACATTCTGAAGGAGCACATCAGGAGAAGCAAATGAGATAAGGATTTGTTTTCCTTTTTCTCTGAGGCTTCTCAGCTTCCCAGGAGAAAAACCCTGGCTGAAGGGATTTTTCCAGAAAACATGAATGTGACAGTAACCCTGAAGGACATTTTGCCACTTGAGCCTGTTCTTAAAGCAGGAATTTTCCTGCTAAAATTGTGCTTTTAAAACACATCAGTTTTGGGTTTGGGGGGAACCTGGTGCTGATCAGATGCATCAAATCCAGTCCTAAATTGAGTGTTAATTCCAGCAGGGTGGATACAAAGAGCCACAAACCTGTGTTTGTTGGAATTCTGCAAGTCCAGCATGGAGAACCCCCTGTCCCCAGTGGGGAAGGGAACTCAGAGCCTGGCTCTGGGAAGGGTTTGTCCAGCAGGGAACTCAGAGCCACTCTCTGGGAAGGGTTTGTCCAGCAGGGAACTCAGAGCCACTCTCTGGGAAGGGTTTGCTCCTCCTGAGTGTCCCCAGCTGGGTTCCAGGTGCCAGCCTGGTGCCAGTCCCTGCTTTTCCTCCCTCAGGCCCGTTTTGTGCTGATCCTGCTGGTGGGCTCCTTCGATGTGCTCTGTGCCCTGCTCCTCATGCAGAGCCAGTCCATGATGGCGTTCCGGGTGGGGGGAGCCCTGGAGAGCCTCCAGGCCCAGTACTTCATGCTCAACCTCTGCTTCTCCATGCTCACTTTTGATCTGCAGGCACAGGTACAGACATTCCCTTTTTCCCCTCTTCTTGATGATATCTTGGGCTGGCTGAGCTGAATTATTCCTTTCCAAAATCAACCCCTCTCTTACCTTTCTGATATTGTGCAGTGTTCACAGGGGGCTGAGGATGAGGGAAGAGATGAGGATCTGACTCCATGTTTCAGAAGGCTTGATTTATTATTTTATGATATGTATTATATAAAAACTATACTAAAAGAATAGAAGAAAGGATTTCATCAGAAGGCTGGCTAAGAATAGAATAATAAAGAATGATACCAAAGGTTTGTGGCTGGGACAGAGTCTGAGCCAGCTGGGCTGTGATTGGCCATTAATTAGAAACAACCAACATGGGCTAATCAAGAAATACTAATTTACTAGATTTACCTGTTGCATTCCACAGCAGCAGATAACCAATATTTACATTTTGTTATTGAGGCCTTTCTCAGGAGAAAAAAATCTTAAGGAAAGGATTTTTCAGAAAATATCATGGCTACATTATATTAACTTAATAATGGGTACATTATATTAACTTAATAATGGTTGTAGCTCCATGTGTTTGTCATAGCTTAGCTAAAACCCATCAGAATGAATCAAAGTAGATTTCATCATTGTCCTGCACAAAAGGAGCTTATTTTGGGGGAGTTTACCCATTAAACAATTGCATCCAGGAGCTCCAACACACCCTGAGGAAAGCAAGGCCATTCCTGCCCCTCCCAGCCTCCAGACTCCTGCATTGAGGAAATGATTCTGGAGTGGGAGAGGGGAACCCACCCAGCAGGGCAGTGAGACAGAAAATGAAATTACAGCTGGGGAAAGTGGGCCCAAGACCTGTAACTGCTGTAAGCACCCCTCATCCTTATTTACTGTGCTTTACCTGCCCTGTTACACAGGGAATGATTTCTGCCCTTGCTTGAGGAATAATTCAGCTTTTAGACCCGAGCTGCTGTTGCAGGGAATGTGTGGCAGGTGTTTTCTTTCCAAGAATGATTTCATGCAATGTTTGCCTCCCCCAGCTGTGCCTGTGCATCCTCCTGCTCAGCCTGCACGAGGTCTCCCTGCTGCACAACATCATCTCAGCCTCGGGCATCGTCTGGGGCTGCCTCAAGGTCACCGTGGGCGTCACCGCAGTGAGTGGCAGCTGCAGGGACACAGGGACAGCCAGGCCCTGGCTCTGCCCAGGGAAGGGAGCCAGCATGGAGGGAAGCACAGCAGCAGCAATAGTGAAGCCAGGTTTTTGTTGAGATCTGTCTGAGCTGAGCACAGGGAGTGAAACAAAGTCACCTTTGTCATTGGGTCATTCTGAGGGATGGTTTTGGTCTCATCCTTGATCAGTGAAATCTGGAGGATCACACAATTCAATATTTCTGCCTCTCTGCCAAGGCTGGGTGAAGCTGGGAGCAATTCTCCAGGCCTTAAATCCTTAGGAAACAGCACCAAAAAGATGAGGGGTCCTTTGTTGGGCCATCTCCTTCCAAGCTCAGGGACGGTTTCCAGGTTAACCTAAGGATTTGTGAACTTGAAATGGCATTTTTCATGTCAGACTGAAGCTCCTCTGAAATGCTGAGCCTCTCTTCCAAGAATGATTGCAGAATCAGGGCCAAAGTACATCAGGTAGGGAGGGTTTTATTACCAGGAAGCAGTTGAGGGGTTTTTGGGGGTGGATGTTGGTTTAGGCTCCTGAGGTGTTTGCTTTAGCCTTTCACACCAATTCCTGAAGTACAGCTCCCTGTGTCTTTTGATGGCTTTCTTGCTAAAATTGTGCTTTTAAAACACATCAGTTTTGGGTTTGGGGGAGACCTGCTGCTGATCAGATGCATCAAATCCAATCCTAACCCTGGCACAGTCACTGCTCCCAGCCCCAGAGGCTCAGCTGCTTTTCCTTCCTTTGCTCAGACCTGCCCTCCCAGCCCAGGGCTGCTGCAGCCCCTTTCTTCATTCCCAAGCCCCTGGGGAATTGTGAAATTAAATTCTCCTGGCACTTCAATCCTCTTGCTTCTCCCACATTTCCCTCCTCAGTGACTGCACTTCTGTGTAGCAGAAAGAAAAGTGGGGGAAAAGCCACAGGGAGCTTTCAGTCTGTTACCTGTGAAAAGATTCAGCTGCTAGAGAAAATGAGTGTGCCCAGAGAGAAAAGCCATCATCACTCCTGGCCCAGCTCAGGGAAAACAGAGCCTGAATTTCCTGCTGAAACTCTCAGCTGGAGAAGGGAAATGCAGAGCAAAGCTGAAATTCAGGACTCAGCTTAGCCAACACTTGGAATGCTATGAAAAATCAACTCTATGTAGCTTTTTTAGAATATACAGCACCTTAAAAAAGCTGTATCTCATCTTATTTTGCAGATTTTAAAAGAGCTGAAACCCCTGGTGTGGGTTTTCCTGGTGCAGAACGTGCCTGAGGTGGTTTATCTCATCTACCTGCTCTACACGGTAAGGGAGCAGGGCTGGGGGCTCTCACCCTCCTCCTCCTCAGGGCCCAGGGCTGTTCCTTTACCCTTCCCTGCAGCTCCTGCTGGCTTTCAAGGGAGCAGAGCCCATCCTGCCTCTGCAGGATCAACTTTCAGCACAGGGATGAAGTCAAAGTTGCTCCTGAACCCATGGGAGGGAGAGGCTCTGGGAGTCCCTGCAAAGAATGATGAGGGGAAAATGAAACAAATTCTTGTTCAAGATACAAAACTCCTCAGAAATGCCTCCCCTCCTTCACACAAGCCTCAGGTGCTGCCAGAGCATTTGACCAGGGCTCAGCTGTTGTGTTTTAAAGAATTTCTAAGCAGCACCCACAGCTGTTTGTCCTGCTGTAGCCAAAACAAGGCAGTGCAAGCCCAGCAAACCCCAGTTTGGGGCAGATTTTGGCTCTGTAACCCTGATAAAACCTTTATCAATGAACACCTCCCACAAGGTGTGTGAGAGGAGGGCAGGGGGAGCCAGGCTGTCCATGCTGGGCAGGGCTGGAATGCTGAGAGGGGCCAGTGCTGCTCATCCCTCCCACCCCAGCCCCAGGGATGCATTTATCAAATGCAGCTCCCCATTGTTCCAGGCTGTTGGAGCTGGCAGGGCACAGCAGGACTGTCTGAACATCATGAAATCAGAAATCCCAATGCTTCCAACGTGACCTGTTGGGTTTTTCTTTTTCCTCTCCCCACAATTCCTACCTGGTGACTCCTGTCAGAATCCCAGTTGCACGCTGTGGCTTCAGGGCTTTGTGGCAGCAGTGGTGATGCTCTGGTGTCTCCCTTTTCCTGCAGGTGATCAGGGAGTGGGGCAAGGGCAATTCTTACACCCTGGAAGCTGCTTTCATCACTGGCTCCTGCATTTCTGTCACAATAAAATCTGTTCTGTTCTGGGCTCTGCTTCACGTCTACCGCAGCTTCGGGCAGGGGCTGAGGGAGAGAAGTAAGTACCCAAAAATGCTCTGGGAAAGTGGAGCCTGTTCTGCCCCACTCACAGGGAAATGGCCAGGAAAATCCTTAACAGATCCCAAATCAAGCAGCTCTGCAGCCCCAGAACTGCCAGGCTGCCAGAGCTCAGGGGTTGGGTGGGACAGATGTGGCTTTCCCACATCTGGAGAAAGCTGATGCCAGCCTGAGCAAAGTCTGCTGCTGTCCAAAGAATCACCTCAGTGTGAGCAGATCTGTCCACTTGCAGCATTTCTGTCACACCCACGGGGAAGGGACACTGATGTGACACAACCCAAGGCTCCTTCCCCCAGGGCCCTGCAGTGCTGCTGACTGAGCTCCCTCTCTTCCCACAGTGTTCTCCTCCTATGGAAGGATCGACTCCTGAGCCTCCCTGTGCAGCTCCCACAGAGTGGAGCCACCCCAGGAGCTGCTGCCCCAGGAGCTGCACTCGGGGTGGCCACAAAGTGTCCCAGCATGGAGGGCAGGAAGGTGTCACACGGTTCTTGGAGCACTAAAGTGTCCCAGGATGGAGGGCAGGAAGGTGTCACACATTTCATGGAGCACTAAAGTGTCCCAGGATGGAGGGCAGGAAGGTGTCACACCTGTCTTGGAGCACTAAAGTGTCCCAGCATGGAGGGCAGGAAGGTGTCACACATTTCTTGGAGCACTAAAGTGTCCCAGGATGGAGGGTAGGAAGGTGTCACACATTTCATGGAGCACTAAAGTGTCCCAGCATGGAGGGCAGGAAGGTGTCCCACATTTCTTGGGGCACTAAAGTGTCCCAGGATGGAGGGCAGGAAGGTGTCACACATTTCTTGGGGCACTAAAGTGTCCCAGGATGGAGGGCAGGAAGGTGTCACACATTTCATGGAGCACTAAAGTGTCCCAGGATGGAGGGCAGGAAGGTGTCACACATTTCATGGAGCAGGGCAGGTGGGACAGAGCTTAAAAAGCAAAACCTGTTTGGGAAATTCCCAGCTGGGACCAAGCACCTTTCACTCCTTTCCCTGCAGTTTGGAAGCCCAGGGGTCACACACCTGTGTGTGAGTGGGGAATGCTGCTCCTTTAGTGCTTTCTGCCTGCACAGACACAAACATGAAGGAAATCTGCACACCCACCTTGTGTAGCTGGGTTCAGAAGGGGATTGTGCTGCCCAGCCTGGCTCTCCTGCAGAGCAGCTCCAGCCCTGCTGGTCTGGTGACAGTGGTGTCCCCTCTCTAAGGCTGCTTTTCCTCCTCTGCCTTCAGAATATTTCCATTATTTTTGGTTTTTGTTAACCCCAGCTTCACATGGAAAATACTCCCTGTAAGCTCACCCCTCCCTCAGTGTAACCAAGGTGCCATTTCATACCAGGGGGACTGTTACAATTAAGCCTTTGATATTGTAATTTAAAAGTTTGGTATTTTATTGACTGGAACCTTTAACTACTGGCTATTTTGTAATAAAGCATAAGCACAGTTTGTGTTTGGATAATTATTTCCCATGGAACAGCACCAATAAAATGGGAAATCCCTTCCAAAAGTGGACAGGGAAGAGGTTGGGACTGGAATTCCTGGGTGCTGTGGACATTGCCTGCACTTCTCCTAAGACCCAGCTTTATTTGCAGCTGGACACTGCAAAAAGCAATGAAAATTAAAAATTTATTACAGCTTATTAGGGAGATTTACAAGGATTCTATAAAATTGCTGTAATCTTTTTTCCCCTCATCCTAACCATCTAAATCACAACCTCTGTTACAAATATGTCTTTTTCTCATCTTGATCTCCTAAACCTGAATCAAATCCCCTTTATGTGCAGCCCCAGGGAGGCATTTACAGGTTCAATGTGTGCAGGGGCTGACAGAGCAGCAGCTGCCCCTGACTTCATCCCACAAGTGCCAGTGGAGCAGGGATTGTTGCTGGAAGAATGAAACATTAAAACATCCCAACAAAACCTTTGCAGTCCTTCCCTAAGCCAGGCCCAGTGGGAAACCCTGTCCAAGGTGTCCTGGAAAACAAAAACTTCACTTTAAATCAGCTCCTTCACCTGCAGAAGGCATCTCCTTGTCAAACAAAAACCTCAGTTTAAATCTCCTTTACCTGCAGAAGGCATCTCCTTGTCAAACAAAAACCTCAGTTTGAATCAGCTCCTTTACCTGCAGAAGGCATCTCCTTGTCAAACAAAAACCTCAGTTTGAATCAGCTCCTTTACCTGCAGAAGGCATCTCCTTGTCAAACAAAAATCTCACTTTAAATCAGCTCCTTCATCTGCAGAAGGCATCTCCTTGTCAAACAAAAACCTCAGTTTAAATCTCCTTTACCTGCAAAAGGCATCTCCTTGTCAAAAACTCCATTTGAAGGCAGCTCCTCACTTCCCTCTCAGCTGCTGGAATGAGTTACAGATTAATTACAAAATCAAAAACCTCATTAATCTCCAGTTCCATGGGAGAAGTGATGAAATGCACCTGAGGCATTTCAAGCCCATTTGCAAGTGTGCAAATCCAAGTGTGCCACAGGCATTTAAACCCATTTTTAACCCTAAACTTCCTGGATATAAATTACCAGATTATTTGACCAGCTAATCTGACCCTTACCTATTTAACCCTTAACTCTTTCTTTCCTCACATTTCTGTCATTGGCCCTTTAAAACACAATTTAATGCAGCCCAGCTTCTTGTACACAAGATTTGTTTCAAGTTGCACAGCAAATCCAGCAATTATTTTGAGACTTTTGAGGAAAACCTGGTACCAGACATTCAAAAAAAGCCTTGGGTGTATTCCCACAAAACAGACCCCACTGTCCCATAAGAAATGCAAACCCCACAAAATTCCAAGCACCTGATTGGGAATTCCCAATTTTCTCTTCTCCCCAAACAAAGGGCAAATCGACCAATCCAACTTTACAAAAAGGTTTTATTGAAAGGATTGAAAAATATTTTGTTTCTCAACAATATTTAAAACCAAGTTTTCAATATGTTAACAGTATGTAACAGGATTTTTTTAGCTTTTAAAAATTCAGTACACTGCTTTATTCCCTACTACAATTGGTAACAACTTCTTCCATTTCTACCAGAGGATAACTTTTTTTTTTTTAAAAAAACAAATTAATTTCCCAGCTTCCATTTTGGCCCTTTGTAGATGAAAGGATTTGGAGGTGCCAGTGACTTACAAACCCTTTTATTAAAAACTCTTAATCAGCAAACCCCCGTTTTTAGCACAGTTTGACCAAGTTATTCTGAAGAAGCTACATGAGCAAGAGGAGGGTTTATTGCCAATAAAGTGAGGTGCATTCCAGCCTTTTGCTGCTTCAGCTCCCCCACTCCTGGAGCAGCTGAAATGCACAACTCCAGGGCTGCTGCAGCCTCACTTGCCTGCAGTTTGCAGATTAAAAGCCTTGGAAAGGGACTTTGCACACTCAGATTTGTGATGGATCAACACAGCCCAGGCTGTGAGAGCTGGGCCAGGGAGAATCAAGGCAGCTTTTGGAGGAAAAGCCAGGCCTGGAGCCCCTGAGCCAGGGCTGCAGCTCTGCCTGGGCTCAGCAGCCCCAGAAAATTCCTTTTCTCAGAATTCTGTACAAGCAAAGCTGCAGCAGCCTCAGAGCCACCATGCAATTGCAGCAGGTGATGAATTGAAAGAAGAAATTTCAAGCCAACCCCTAATGTAGACCTAAAGTAGCTCAGTACACTTTGATTACAGATTTAATTACCTGTGCACTCTGAAAATTAAAAGTTCGGCAGTTTAGTCGAGAATAGCTTTACTATTATAAAAAGCATAAATAAAAAGTGCTGAATATAGTTTTATCTTTAAAAAAATACTAGATAAGGCTCATAAATCATTTCACCTCTGCAAAATGATTTTCCACTCCCCAGTGTGCCTAGAACTGCTCATTCTCCACTCATGCACACATTTCTCTAGACACCAGACCCTGTTCCTTCTCTCAATTATTGCATGTTAAATAAAAGAGTTCAAAGCAAACAAGCCTGACAGTTCTCTAGTTGAAAAAGTAAGCAGTTATCAAATAACTGAATACTCCACTCAGGAAACCCGTAAGCAGCTTCAAAACAGTGATAAAACAATTACTGCAGATTCAAGTGAAAGAGAAATCCCAAAAGCTCTCTGGATATTCTCCAAGATATCCCAAAATCCATCTGGTTTTGGCCAAACCAAAGCAATATTCTATGTTACAAAATGTACAAACCAAGTGTTCCTTTATAGCAACGCTGTTCATTGAGATTTGAATCGTTACCAAGAGTTTGTTTCTCTTTTCTGGAAAATTCTCTCACCTGCATTTCGTGAGCTCAGCCTCCAAAAGGGGAAGGACATGACTGAAACCAGCAGAGGACACAGGGCAGGCAGAGGCTGGAAATGAAACCATTTCCCATTTCCACTTTGGACCACAGAAACACCATAAGACAATCATGAGGAATTTCAGCAGAGATTCTCCCTGGGTGCCCCAGGAAATCCCAGCCCAGGCAGGAAATTCAATCCTGGGCACTTCTGCCTCAGGCACTGAACAGCTCCTGTCCCTTCCTGCAGTGAGCCATGCAGCAAGACTTGAAAATGCTGAAGTTTGGATCAAATGCTCCAGAGACTGCACCACAGAGAACATCAATGTAAACATTTTCCTTGGCTTTGCTAATTCTGCACTTGAAGCACAGGGCAAACCCTTTCCCCCCACCCCAACCGGTTCTTCTGGTGGGGTTTGGTTTTTGTTTTTTGTTCTTCCATAAAAGCACATACAATAAAATATGTACAGAGAGAAGTTAGAAACATTTGAAAGCATCTTAAAAAAAGTAAATGTGAGACTTAGAATAATCTTGAGTGTGCTGAAGGCACCGGTGCTACTGCACTGGGAATGTGTCCTCTCGTTTCTGCAGTCACCAATGCAGAATCCCACCCTGGCTCACTCAGCACCAGGAGCTGGGAGGTATCCATGGAAGTTGAGGGCATTCAGGATCTTAGAACAGGATATTTTCTTCAGGACAACAGTGAATTCAGTAGCAACTGAAGTCCAGATTCTTCTTGAACACTTGGAGAATTTATTATTATTATTATTTTAACATGATAGTCTCTAATGCTACCATTTATCCCAGGGAATCAAACAAAAATAATAACAAAAAACCAACACATGGATGACTCCCACCAAGAGGAAGGGCAGAGCTGTGAATTAGCTCAGCTACAAATAATTAATGCTCATCCCTGCTGTTTGTGGCTGTTTCCACAGTGCTGACAGCCAAGGGTCAACCACTGCTCATATGGGCACAAGAGAAAGAAATGTATATATAAAAAATATATACTTTTTATTACTAATTCCATCTATTAATAAAAAACATCCTTTGTGGGTGTTTCTTCAGTGTGTCACACTTGCAAGTAAGAAAGTATTTTCTGGGCAAGGTGTGTTTAAGATAACAAAGAAGAACTTTTTTTTTTTTAAAGAAAACTTCTCAGAGCCTTTCTGTTCCTAGCAGTGTTAAATGGAGTTATAAACTATCAAATGCAAGATTTTAATGCCACTTTTCCCTGGTGTAGCTACATTCAGCCTACCATGGAACTGGTAAGTCAGAAGTTACAATCAGATCTGCAGATGTGGTTTTGGACAGCAGTCAGGAATAATCCACTGCTCATCTGGAAGGAAATTCACACTGGATCAGAACCATCAGAGCCTTCCACTGCCCCTCCTGATGCACAGGAAGGAGCACAACCCTTCCCAACCCTGAGGGACATCAGCCACAAGCACAGGGCAGCTCCAAAACCCAGCAGAGGGGAGGGATTGGGATTCTGTCACATCCCAGGGCTCCAAAATGCAACAGAGAGGAGGGATTGGGATTCTGCCACATCCCAGTGAGGGATTGGGATTCTGCCACATCCCAGGGCTCCAATATCCAGCAGAGGGGAGGATTCTGCCACATCCCAGTGCTCCAATATCCAACAGAAGGGAGGGATTGGGCTTCTGCCACATCCCAGGGCTCCAAAATGCAACAGAGGGGAGGGATTGGGATTCTGCCACATCCCAGTGAGGGACTGGGATTCTGCCACATCCCAGTGCTCCAATATCCAGCAGAGGGGAGGGATTGGGATTCTGCCACATCCCAGTGAGGGGAGGGATTCTGTCACATCCCAGGGCTCCAAAACCCAGCAGAGGGGAGGGATTGGGATTCTGCCACATCCCAGTGAGGGATTGGGATTCTGCCACATCCCAGGGCTCCAAAATCCAGCAGAGGGGAGGATTCTGCCACATCCCAGTGAGGGGAGGGATTCTGCCACATCCCAGGGCTCCAAAATCCAGCAGAGGGGAGGGATTTGCCACATCCCAGTGCTCCAAACCCAGCAGAGGGGAGGATTCTGCCACATCCCAGGGCTCCAAACCCAGCAGAGGGGAGGATTCTGCCACATCCCAGTGCTCCAATATCCAACAGAGGGGAGGGATTGGGATTCTGCCACATCCCAGGGCTCCAAACCCAGCAGAGGGGAGGATTCTGCCACATCCCAGGATTCCAAAATCCAGCAGAGGGGAGGATTGTGCCTCATGGCACTGCCAGAGCCCTGCTCCTCAGAACTCCTCCTCCTCCACAGCGAAGTTGTTCTGCTTCTTGCGCACGTTCCAGTGCAGGCACTGGGCCAGGCTCTCGAACCAGTCGCTGACGGGGTCCCGGAAGCAGATGGAGGGGAGGGGGTAGCACGAGGTAGTGATGCTGATACTGCAACAGCACAGGGCAGGTCAGGCAGGGACAGCAACACCCTGCACAGCCCAGGCTGCTCCCACCCAGCACACAGTGACTCACTGCCAAAGAGCAGCCTGCCATGCCCGGTGAGCACAGCCACAGCTGATCCCAAGAGAACCAGCAGAGCTCTGGGGACACCTGTGTGACGTGTCTGGGAACCCTCCGTGGCATCCTGCACCCACACAGGGACAAAGGAAACCCAGGGCACCACCTCGGCCTTTGGGTTTCCAATTTTAAGCAATAAACCCAGAAATTCCTGAGTGTAACTGAAGGCCAAACCTTGAGTTTGAATCTTTACTGGGCACCTTTCAGTTTCAAGTTTTATGCAACAAGCCCAAGGATTCAAGTTTTATGCAACATGCCCAAGGATTCCAGAGTGTAACCAAGGGCCAAACTTTGTGTTTGGATCTTTATTGGGCTCCTGACTCCTTTATAGATGATTCAAACTCCTCTATAGATGATCCAAACTCCTCTATAGATGATCCAAGCTCAGAAGGAACGAGCCCTGCTCAGGATGGAGGGTTTGGAGGGTTACACCAGCTCTGCATTTCCCCTCAGGGCACCTCGTGTGGGCCCAGAGGAAAAAGGGCCCCCTGAAGAACCCATCTGCCAATCTCCTTCCCAGAGCTGCCTTTTAACACCTCCACAGCACATTCTGGGCACAAAACTGAGGGACTGCTCACCCTTGTGCTCACTCAAGGCCACAGAAGTGACCACAAGCCCTCCCAGTTAGCCCAGTTTAAAGCATGGGGAGTGTTCCAGCACCTGTGCTCACAGGCAGCTCCTGTTGGTTTGTAGCTTTCAGAATTGCTAAGATTTATCTTGAAGTTAAAATTTAGAGTTTTCTAAAGATATGCCCATCCTCCCTGCCAAGCATGCAATGTTTACAGAGTCTGAACATTTCCCTTGCTTTTATGGGAAGATCTAAAGAACTCAAGTTAGAAATTAAATCCTTTTAGTGCAGTCTGTGCTCCAGGAGGTGTTAGGGCTTATAAAAGCTTCTTCCTTCATTGCCAAAAACCCTTTTGGCAGATGTTAGAGAATGAGGGAGCTGCATGAATCAGGCTTTTCTATACTTAGAGATAATAGAATCAGAAGAAAGGTCTGACCTGTCTCCATGGCAGATTTCCTGCCTCTTCCTCCCATCAAAGGAAACCCACGCTGTGTTCCTGGCATCTGGGGAGAGCATGATCTGAAAAACAGGAATGGTCCAAAACTCAGAGCAAGGAACAAACACCTCCTCCACCCTCCCTCTGATGCAGCACTGAGCCCCTGGAACTCCACACTGCACTGGAATCCCTCAGCTGTCCATGGCAGCAGTGCAGTAACACCACTCCAGCTCCAAACTTGATTTTTTGTTTATAATTATATGTTCTTCTACATGCAGTAAATCCCCTTTTTATAAGTACAAGGTCAGAACCCACACAGACCTTCCAGTTCCAGCCTGTCTCTTCCTTCCAGTTCAGTTCCTGTAACTTTAGTTCAGTTACAGGAGCTGGCTTAGCTTTTCTTTCAAGAAAAATAATGAAGTTAATCCAGAAAAATACATTTTAGTACATAATGAATCCAAAGGTATCAAATTTAGGAAGTTTGCCTCCTATTTAAATTACATTCCTAATTAAAAGAATGAACCACCACTGGCCAGTAACACCCACTGACACCCAAGTGTGGGCTGAGAGCTGTGCCATGAATAAACATTGAATTTGTGTTGTACAACAGGAACAAAAAGTCCAGAACACACTCATTTCTCAATGCTAATCCTCCACCACCCCCAGGACAAAAGGAGAAAGAGATTCTTCCTTGCACAAGAGTATTTGTCCAAAATACCCATTAACCAAGTCTATTTTATATTCAGCATTAAATGTCTTTTTTTCTGCAAGACAACATTAAAAAAAACCTAAATACTGAATTGCAGATAGTGCTACCAGTAAATACTTAAGATCTGCAATATTTCTGCATGAAAGGAGAATTTTTGATTCCCTTCACTGATCATTTACAGGCACTTTAGCCAAGATTCTGGAACATTTTTCAGAATGCAAATGCAGGAATTCCCATTTTGTAGAATGTTACAGAACTACAGTCCAGTAGGAAAAGTGTAAAATATTCCACTTAAATTTATTAAAGTGGGCAAAATCTTCAGTTTTCACTGGGCAAAAATCTTCAATTTTAACTGGGCAAAAGCCTCAATTTTAACTGGGCAAAAGCCTCAATTTTAACTGGGCAAAAGCCTCAATTTTAACTGGGCAAAAGCCTCAATTTTAACTGGGCAAAAGCCTCAATTTTAACTGGGCAAAAGCCTCAATTTTAACTGGGCAAAAGCCTCAATTTTAACTGGGCAAAAGCCTCAATTTTAACTGGGCAAAAGCCTCAATTTTAACTGGGCAAAAGCCTCAATTTTAACTGGGCAAAAGCCTCAATTTTAACTGGGCAAAAGCCTCAATTTTAACTGGGCAAAAGCCTCAATTTTAACTGGGCAAAAGCCTCAATTTTAACTGGGCAAAAGCCTCAATTTTAACTGGGCAAAAGCCTCAATTTTAACTGGGCAAAAGCCTCAATTTTAACTGGCCAAAATCCTCAATTTTAACTGGCCAAAAGCCTCAATTTTAACTGGCCAAAATCCTCAATTTTAACTGGCCAAAATACTCAATTTTAACTGGCCAAAATCCTCAATTTTAACTGGGCAAAAGCCTCAATTTAACTGGGCAAAATCTTCAATTTTAACTGGGCAAATTCTTCTAAAGAAAGGCACAATCTTGAAGCAGACTTGGTGTGATCCAGCCCCAAGCGAGAGGACGCAGGAGCCACACGACACCTCCCACCCTCCTCTCATTGCTGAAGTTTTTAACCCACAAAGAGCAAGAAAATGAGAGAAAAGCCCACCTTGAGTTCCACCCCAGCAGGAACCACGATGGGTCTGAAGGACAGGGAGTGGGGGCAGATGGGGGTGATCATGATGGCCGGGACGTTGGGGTGGATCATGGACGCTCCGGCCGCCGCGGCGTAGGCGGTGCTGCCGGTGGGCGTGGAGACGATCACCCCTGGGGACAGCAAACATTGAACAGGGATTGCTCTGGGGGACACCAATAAATCCTACTGTCACCCCTGGGGACAGCAACAGGACAGGGACATCAGCATTGACAACCAGGGATTGCTCTGGGGGACACCAACAAACCCTATTGGCACCCCTGGGGACAGCAAACATTGAACAGGGATTGCTCTGGGGACACCAACAAACCCTATTGTCACCCCTGGGGACAGCAACAGGGCAGGGACATCAGCACTGAACAGGGATTGCTCTGGGGGACACCAACAAATCCCACTGGCACCCCTGGGGACAGCAACAGGGCAGGGACATCAGCTTTAACAACCAGGGACTGCTCTGGGGGACACCAACAAATCCCACTGGCACCCCTGGGGACAGCAACAGGGCAGTGCCAGCAGCTCTGAACCAGGACTGCTCTGGGACACCAGCACACCCCGTGCCAGGAATGTGAAGCTCCCCCTGCATTTCACAGCCCCACTGCAGCCCAGCACACACACACACAGAGAAGCTGCCCCTGACCCTGCCATGTGCTTTCAGGAGTTGCACAAACTCAGCTTACACAATTTTCTAATAGTGACTTTCATTTTTTTTTTCTTTAAGAGCTTTAAGGCTAACTCCTGCTGTTCATGAGCTGAGATTGTTTGCCTTTAGCAATCCCAGGTACCCAGGCCAACCCTTCTGAGCTATTTCTTCCCCTTAGCCTGAAACACAACACTCCAAAAAAGAGCCACTTGCCCTCACATGCCCAGCAAGAAAATCTTTCAGCACCTCCAGCCTCCCAGTGTGGAACACACCCTCTGTTTGCTGGCAGCAGTGACTGGAGCTGTGTTTCCAGGAGAGGAAATCCCCCAGCAGGCCCAGGCAGGCAGGGAGCAGCACTCACCGTCCCCCTGCACCGTGGTGATCAGGTGCCCGTCCAGGAACACGTCCACGTTGGACAGGTAGGAGGAAGGGCCACGATCCACCACCACCTCATTGAGGACCTGCCACGAGAGCAAGCATTACTGCAGCCTGCTGCTGCTGCCTTGGGTGTCAAATGAATGGCAGAAACTGAACGTGGTTTCCACATCTCCTAAAAATTCAAGCTTATTTAGTGCCTGCAAATCAAAGTTTCTTTATATTTCTGTGCTGTCGAGAGCCAGCTGAAGTTTAAGAATTTCGTTTTCAGGATTTAATAGATTTAATTCTTAATTTTAAGTTTTGAAGTTTAAGAATTAGTCCCCAGGAGCTGGTCACTAACAACATGCAGAGTTTTTCTTATTTATAAAAACGTTTGGTGTGTCTGATTTTAGAACTACTGCTTTGTCTTCAACATAGAAGGAAGGCTGGACTCAAGCTTGGAGATATCTCCCAGCCTAAACAATTCTGTGAAATTATTTCTATTTTAAGGATTACTCCCCAGGAGCTGGTCACTAACAACATGGAGGGTTTTTCTTCTCATTTATAAAAAAGTCTGGTGTGTCTGACTTTAGAATTACTTTGTTCTCAAATAGAAGGAAGGCTGGACTCAAGCTTGGAGATATTTCCCAGCCTGAACAATTCTGTGAAATTATTTCTATTTTAAGGATTACTCCCAGGAGCTGCTCACTAACAACATGGAGGGTTTTTCTTCTCATTTATAGTTTTTCTTCTCTCACCACAAGTATCTGGTGTGTCTGACTTCAGAACTACTGCTGCTTTGTTTTCAAATACAAGGAAGGCTGGACTCAAGCTTGGAGATATCTCCCAGCCTAAACAATTCTGTGAAATTATTTCTATTTTAAGGATTACTCCCAGGAGCTGGTCACTAACAAAGTGCAGGGCTTTTCTTCCAATTTATAAAAGTGTCTGATGTGTCTGACTTCAGAACTACTCTGTCCTCAAATACAAGGCAGGCTGGACTCAAGCTTGGAGACATCTCCAGCCTAAACAATTCTGTGCAATTCTTTCTAGAGCAAAGTGTGAGATTACAAAGTGTGAGATCAGCACTTGTGATTGCACAAAGGAAACTGTGCAGCAGCTCCTCAGCATTTAGAGCAAACTGGGAGCTCAGCCCCACAGTGCTGGGGGAGAGCTTTAATGAAACAAATACAAATTACAAACAATAGCTTGGGGTTTTTGGTTGGTTTTTTTGCTTGTTTTTTCCTCTAACCTGATATTGCATAATTTGTTTGCCCACTTCTTTCTCCAGGTTTGCAGACACGAGCCCATTCTCCTCTATCCCATTCTGCACTGAGCTCTTGTCCCTGTGCTCCTTCACCACCTTCACCTTGAGCCTGCTCCGCAGGACCAGGGCGGCGTTGCCTGCAGGGACAAACACAGGGAAAAGGCTGAGAAAGGAGATCTGGCCCAGGAAATCAGCCCAGCAGTGACTGAGACACTGCAGAAAATCCATCCAGCCAGCCCTGAGCTTCCAACACTCCCAGGCTCACTCACAACACAACTGGCTGCACTTGGCTGAAGCTCAAAATTAATTTTTAGCAGCAACGAGGAAAAAAAATCAAAGCCAAATTTTAAGCCAGTCCCTTCCCACTTTTCTTATTATGTAAAAAGCAAATTTAAGTTTTGTATAGATATGATTAAAATGGGAAAACACTGTTGGGCTCATGTGATCTTCAGTAAGACAAAAGCTAAGCTTCAAGAAAATTAAAGTATTAGAAGATTGTTAAAATTGTTGTGTTAAAAGATAATATTCTAGTGAGAGTTTTGGACATCTTTGCAGGATCTGTTTTGGATGCAACTCAAAAGAATTTATTTCCTCAAATATTTTATTTGCCTGGCTTAGTATTTAAACACTGCCTTTTATTTCTACATTCAGTTGCAATTTAACATAAATTCTACATTATCTTCCACTTATTTACTCCATCAAGTTATTTCTTAGCCCTTTTTCTTTACAGAGCAGCACTGGATGGGTCAATGCAATGTAAAACTTCTGATAATTTAAGGTACATTTCTGATAATTTAAGGTGCATTTCTGTTAATTTAAGGTACATTTCTGATAATTTAAGGTACATTTCTGATAATTTAAGGTGCATTTCTGATAATTTAAGGTGCATTTCTGATAATTTAAGGTACACTTCTGATAATTTAAGGTACACTTCTGATAATTTAAGGTATATTTCTGATAATTTAAGGTACATTTCTGATAATTGAAGATTTCTCTCAATTTCAGATACATTTCTCAAGTTTCAGATTTCAAGGGCTGACCTGAAAGAATTGGTTAAGAAAAAGTAACAAACAAACACCACACCTTGTCCCCTTAAATTTACCTTCTATAACCTGAGTGACTTGGGACTGAAAATTCTCAAAATTAAATGGAGTAAGAAATCCAAGGGATCCCAGATGAAAAGCCATAACTGGAGGTACACTACCCTATCAATAAAGAAAAGAGTTTTAAAGCTCCTCAGTCAAAGCAATCCACACTTCAACTATTTGCCTGTAAATATTGTGACTATTGATGAAACTTCAACTGTGCTTCATAAAAAACAACACATTTGGCATCATTTTCACAAGGTAAAAAAGAGGGGATGAGGAACAATAGACAAATGCTGAACTCAGGGAAAAAGAGAGGGGAAAAGCACTTTTAAATACTTGCAAAATAAGAGATTTGTGGGTTATTTCCAATAAGAACCAACCTGGAAAAGTGAAGAAGCATAAAGTAAGGTCCCATCTCCTCCCAGGCATATGATGAAGTCAATCTGATTGGAGATATCATCATAGTCTAGGAGAAACATTGACATCAAAAGTTTTCAATTCCATTTTATCCCCCATCTTAATTTCCTAACAAAAATCAGGAGGAAAAATTTCAATGTGCAGCGTGCAAATATTCCCTCACAAATATATAAAAAAGCACAATTAAGATGTAACAATTGTCTGCAAAAGACAGAAAAGTTTTACAGCTTTGACCCAGCAAGCAAGAAAACACCAAGACAAAAACAAAAATTCCACTCTGTCCTTTCAAGAAATCATTTCCATACCTTCTCTAAAGGTGCAAAACTTTTTCTTCACTGGTCCAAAATTCTCATCATTAGCTATAGCAGGGTCTTCCAATACCTTTTTCTCCACATACACAATCATGTTGTTCTCCTGAAGAGACAGAAAATAAACTTGTGAGGGACCTCCCAACACTTGACTCTCTCCATAATTTCTATTAATTTATTCATTTCATTATATAAATAATATTTACAGGAGTGTTCTGCATCTGCTGGCTCTTTTTAATGTGTGGTTTGATCCTGATGAGAATTTTGCAGCCTGCACAGAACATTTAATAAATTAAACCTTGGAATTTGGAATATAGATTACAGACACAGCAATAATGCTGTGTTTGCTCAAGGATTAAAGGTTTTTAAAAATTATATCCCATTCCTGTAATTCAGAACTGTAAACAGAATGAAAATTTTTACTTTAATAATTTTAATTCTTTTAATAAATTTAGTTTTAAAGCTTCATACTGATCTTAAATTCTGCACAACAAATTTTAGTGGCAGTGGGTGCAAAGATTTGATTGCACAAATTCTGTACAGAATCAGCAGCAATTTCTATTTTCTCACCTCAGTGAGGTACACACAGAGCTCTTTGAAGGGCTGCATCACGGATCTTCTTAATTTTAATTAATTTAATTTTATAATTAATAATTTTAATTAATTTAATTTTATAATTAATAATTTTAATTAATTTAATAAATTTAGTTTTAAAGCTTCATACTGATCTTAAATTCTGCCCAACAAATTTTAGTGGCAGCGGATATGAAAATTTGATTGCACAAATCCTGCCCAGAATCAGCAGAATTTCTATTTTCTCACCTCAGTGAGGTACACACAGAGCTCTTTGAAGGGCTGCAGCAGACTGGCATCACAGATCTTCTTAATTTTAATTAATTTATTTTATAATTAATAATTTTAATTCATTTATTTTAAAATTAATAATTTTAATTCATTGAATTAAATGAATTAAATTCAGTTTTAAGCTTCATAAATTCAGTTTTAAGCTTCATACTGATCTTAAATTCTGCACAACAAATTTCAGTACACTCAGTGGCAGTGGATACAAAGATTTGATTGCACAAATCCTGCCCAGAATCAGCAGTAATTTCTATTTTCTCACCTCAGTGAGGTACACACAGAGCTCTTTGAAGGGCTGCAGCAGACTGGCATCACGGATCTTCTTAATCACAAGGACACTCTTGGGAGGTTTGTTCCATGTCAACCGCTGGCTTGCTGGATCCTGAATGTGCCTGGGGGACAGAACAACCCCAAAGGTCAGCACAGCGTGGTCTGACACCTTCCTGACCTGCTAAAAACCCATCCTCCAGTGTGGGGAGCACAGCCCTGCACAGCAGGCAGGGAAAGGCAAGAATTCCCATTGCAGGGATGGGAATTTATGTATTCATGTATGGAGAACACACAGCCCTACAAACCAGGCAGGGAAAGGGAATAATTCCCATTGCAGGGATGATTCTGAATGAAATGCAATAATTCTCATTGCAGTGATGGTCCTGAGGGAAATGCAATAATTCCCATTGCAGGGATGTTCCTGAGGGAAATGCAATAATTCCCACTGCAGGGATTTTCTGAAGGAAATGCAATAATTCCCACTGCAGGGATATTCCTGAGGGAAATGCAATAATTCCCATTGCAGGGATGTTCCTGAGGGAAATGCAATAATTCTCATTGCAGGGATATTCCTGAGGGAAATGCAATAATTCCCATTGCAGGGATATTCCTGAGGGAAATGCAATAATTCCCACTGGAGGGATTTTCTGAAGGAAATGCAATAATTCCCATTGCAGTGATGTTCCTCAGGGAAAGGCAATAATTCCCATGGCAGTGATAGTCGTGAGGGAAAGGCATTAATTCCCATTGCAGTTATGTTTCTGAATGAAATGCAATTCATTCCCATTGCAGTGATGTTCCTGAGGGAAAGGGAATAATTCCCATTGCAGTGATGTTTCTGAAGGAAAAGCAATAATTCCCACTGCAGGGATGTTCCTGAGGGAAATGCAATAATTCCCACTGCAGGGATGTTCCTCAGGGAAATGCAATAATTCCCATTGCAGTGATGTTTCTGAATGAAATGCAATAATTCCCACAGCAGGGATTTTCTGAAGGAAATGCAATAATTCCCACTGCAGGGATATTCCTCAGGGAAATGCAATAATTCCCACTGCAGGGATGTTTCTGAAGGAAATGCAATAATTCCCACTGCAGGGATTTTCTGAAGGAAATGCAATAATTCCCATTGCAGGGATTTTCTGAAGGAAATGCAGTAATTCCTATTTGCAGGGATGTTTCTGTGCTTTACTACCTGCAGGTGTTCACACAGAATTAATAATTGTGGTCCCTGCTGTCCTGTGAATGAACTTTGCCAACAGAGGCACCACAGCAGCTCTCAGACAAATTCCTGAACTGCCACCTCTGCTTCCTCTTGGTTCAGTGCAGGCTCAAGGGGAAACAGTCCCTCAGAGGATCTGAAAAAGTCACAGCATCGTTCTTCCCCCACCCAAAACTCTAAGTCAAACAGCCCAAGGCAAATTTAAAATCAATTTATTTCAGTGCCCACATTTGAGATACAAACCCAGCAGAAACTAAAGGGTCATGCAGGGCTCTGATATCAAAAATGCTGACAAGAAATAGGGATTGCAGCACTGAATAAACCCAGAATTTCACAATAAACCCAAACTTCATTCAAACAGCCAGCCTGCCTGTTTGAGCTGTACTCACCAATTCCATGGAGCTCTACTGAATGAAAAGTTATTCATAACTTGCTTTAAGATCTTCATGTTTCTTTCCAGGGCTCAGGCAAATGCAACAGCTCCAAATAAAATAAAATGCTGAGGCTTTTATCACTTATTGATAACTGCAACCTCAGAGGAATACATTTTTCCCTGAAAAATGTTTTTTTCTTCTACTGAAGATTTCAATCAATTCCAATAAAAAGTTGTGAGGCTTTACAAAAAATCCTGTGTAAAACTTGCACTCCAGATCCTCGAGGTAAGGGTTCATAAAGAAAATCCCATTTCAAGAAAAATAAACAGGGATTTGATTTCCCTTTCTCTCAAGAGCACAAGCCCCTGATCCTTTCTTCACTGAGTATTCATTCAATTCATCTGCTCATCAAAAAGCAGATTTGCAAGCTCTAGAGCTGCTGGTTGTACTGAAAGAGACACCCAACCTTCCCTAACTTCAGCCTGCACATAAAAACTACGATTTTCTGTTAAAAATAATCCCTCCAGTGAGGAGAGTTCCACAAAATTACCCACAGCAGAGGAGAAAAAAACCACCAACGAGGTTTTGCTTGTTTTTAAAACCCACAAAACCTTGTGTGCAGCAAAATTAATTTCTAATTTGCTTTTCTAACAAGTCCTTGCCTTCAGCAGCCCGGGGGCAGCTCTGCTCCCTGCCCTGCCTGCCCAAGGTTTTCCCTGGCAGGATCCTGTCCCTGGTTTTATATCCCAGGGCTGGGCCAGCCCCTGGGAGGAGCAATTCCCCAGTCAGGTGGGTAAACACGACCTGGGCTGGCCTGCAGCAGCCCAGGGGAATGAGGAAGCTCTGGGCTGCCCAAGGGAGGGATCTGGGTTAGACTTTCCCAGGAAAGGTTACAGTCTCCAGAGGTAGAGATTTGGGCAAATAAATATTGACTGCAGTCACTTACAGGAGGAGCAATTCAATAAAACTTTTTTTTTAAAGGGGCTAAAAATAGAATGGTTTGGGTTGGAAGGGCCTTCAAGCCCATCCAGTCCCACCTTCCACCATCTCAGGTGGCTCCAAGCCATGTCCAGCCTGGTCTTGGACACCTCTGTGCCAGGGCCCTCCAAAACCAGGGACCAATGCCTTGGTTAAACCCTGAAATTCCTCCCTTGCCCAAGTCAGGACCCCAATTGTTAAGTATAGAAAGCAACACTTGAATTTTGTCAACCTACAAAATTAAAATGTTTCTTTGCCCACTAAGCAGAAACCAGCCCTTATTCTCCCATTTATCAACAGTCTAAAAGCAAACTTGCTTTAACTGAAAGTACCAGAGACCAAAGAGAAAACTGAAAGCACAAATTTAAACATCATCACTAAGGGAGGGAGAAGGATCCCCTCAGATTTCACAGTTCCTCTTCCTCCCTTTTTTTAGTGAGTTGGAAATATGGGAGTTGCCCTTTTAGACACCAAACTCTGGACTGCAGACTGTGCCAGCCTGGCAAAGCTGACCCCAGGGTGGCAATCACATGAAAACCCCTAAATACCAGGTAAAACACAAACACAGTGCTGAGGGAGCTGGGGGTGCTCAGCCTGGAGAAAAGGAGACTCAGGGCTGACCCTGGCACTCCCCACAGCTCCTGAAAGGTGCCTGTGCTCAGCTGGGGCTGGGCTCTGTCTCCAGGCACTGACAGAACCAGAGCACACAGCCTTGAGCTGCACCAAGGGAAATACAGGGTGGGTATTGGGAAGAAGTGTTTCACAGAAAGGTGGTGAAGTTTTTTCCAGAAAGGTGATAAAGGTTTTCACACAAAGGTGATAAAGGTTTTCACACAAAGGTGATAAAGGTTTTCACACAAAGGTGATGAAGTTCTGGAATGGCTGCCCAGGGAGGTGCTGGAGTCCCCATCCCTGGGTGTGTTTAACAAAGCCTGGATGTGGCCCTGGGTGCCAGGGTTGAGTTCAGGTGCTGGGGCTGGGCTGGACTCCATGGTCTTGAAGGTCTCTTCCAACCTGGGGATTCTGTGATTCTGAGAATTCTGGGAATTTGGGGGAATTCCCCCAAATTTGGGGATGCGCTGGAGTCACCATCCCTGGGTGTGGCACTGGGTGCCAGGGTTGAGTTCAGGTGCTGGGGCTGGGTTGGACTCCATGGTCTTGAAGGTCTCTTCCAACCTGGTCATTTGTGATTCTGAGAATTCTGGGAATTTGGGGAATTCCCAGGAATTGGGGACGTGGTGGAGTCACCATCCCTGGGTGTGTTTAACAAAACCTGGGTGTGGCTCTGGGTGCCAGGGTTGAGTTCAGGTGCTGGGGCTGGGTTGGACTCCATGGTTTTGAAGGTCTCTTCCAACCTGGTCATTCTGTGAATTCTGGGAATTTGGGGAATTCCCAGGAACTGGGGATGTGGTGGAGTCCCCATCCCTGGGTGTGTTTAACAAAACCTGGATGTGGCACTGGGTGCCAGGGTTGAGTTGAGGGGTTGGGGCTGGGTTGGTCTTGAAGGTCTCTCCCAAGCTGGGGATTCTGAGAATCCTGATGAGGGGTGAACCAAGTGGAAGCAGGGGAAAAGCAAAGTGGTTTTCTCTGGCCCAGCAGGAGCAGAGGGGCACTGCTGGAGGAATACTCACATAATGGTTTTGGGGTTCTGCAGCATGCAGGCCTTTGGTCCAAAGGTGGTCACTGGGCATGGTCCATGCAAGGAACGCGTTCTCCTGAGGGCAGAGAGGACAGCAGTGAGAATCCTGACAGCCTGGGCCAGCCTGGCTGCTCCAACACAAACCCTGCACACACAAACTCAGGGCAAAGGGCATTTCTTAAAGCCCTGTGTGCTCCCCATTGGGCAGATCAGCTCTCACACCCCCAGGGGCTGCAGAGAACGTTTGTATTCTGTGTTTCTCAAAGCACTACATCTCAGCTAAAAGCACATTTTTTAGAATGGCTGAACCTGGTGTAAATACAGCTGAACCAGCTCAGTGAGTGCTCCTCCCCTCACTGAGGGCTTTGGCTTTCCCAGTGTGTGATTGACAACACCTGTCATGGACATGTTTCATGAAAAATCTTTTTGTTAAGATTTTTTCTCTTGAGAAGTTGAGAAGCTTCAGTTTCTCCATGTTTTGCTGCTTTAGAATGTGATTTAGAAAATTGTTTTTACTTGATAACTAATGACAGCTACTTGTGTCAGAACTGGGAGCAGTCACAAGATTTTATTATCAATCTTTTTTATCCCTTTCAAACTTTCTGATAAAATCTTTGTTATCATTCTTTTTTATCCCTTTCAAACTTTCTGATAAAATCTTTGTTATCACGTTTTTATCCCTTTCAAACTTTCTGATAAAATCCTTTTTATCATTCTTTTTTATCCTTTTCAAGCTTTCTGATAAAATCTTTGTTATCATTCTTTTTCATCCTTTTCAAACTTTCTGATAAAATCTTTTTTTCTAGTCTTTTAGTATAGTTTAAATATATCATTTTTTATCATTCTTTTTTACCCTTTTCAAACTTTCTGATAAAATCTTTTTTATCACTTTTTTATCCCTTTCAAACTTTCTGATAAAATCCTTTTTATCATTCTTTTTTATCCTTTTTGAGCTGATAAAATCTTTTTTATCCTTTTCAAACTTTCTGATAAAATATTTTTTATCACTTTTTTTTATCCTTTTCAAACTTTGATAAAATCTTTGTTATCATTCTTTTTTACCCTTTTCAAACTTTTTGATAAAATCTTTTTTATCACTTTATCCTTTTCAAGCTTTCTGATAAAATCTTTTTTATCACTCTTTTTTATCCTTTTCAAACTTTCTGATAAAATCTTTTTTCCTAGTCTTTTAGTATAGTTTTAATCTATCATTTCTTTTAATATAATATATATCATAAAATAATAAATCAGCCTTCTGAAACATGGAGTCAAAATCCTCATCTCTTCCTCACCCTGAGACCCCTGCAAACACCACCACAAACCCCTCCAGATGTTTTTAAGTCACAGTGTCTTGGACATTTAACACCCTTAATGAATGAATCAAACAAATTCCTCAGCTCTAAGGCCCGTGGACATTTCTATCTCCAGGATCAGGCTGCCATGTTGAACAGGCTGAAGAAGAATTGCTGTCCCCCCCATTTATTTCTCTAATAAAATATTTGGCTTCAGATAAACGGGGGCTCTGAGGTGTCCTTTATGCTCAGAATTGGATCCCAGCAGGACCAGGGTTACTCCTGGCTCTAGGATGGGATCAGCTGGAGGAAGTCAGAGCTCTTCTGCCTCACCTCCCTCCCAAACTCCTCCTGCAAAGCTGCACCTGGGAGCAAAACCTGCTCAAGCCATGGGACTGCTGAAGCATGAGGTGACTGCTATTAGAATTATTCCATTATAAAAAAGAGAGAAACATTTATTTCCTGGGCTTAATTCAATCACTTCTTGCTTGCAACAATCAGCACTGCAGTGCCTTCTATTGTGTGTTACAAAGCAGCCCAGACCAGCCTGATGACTCAGTCCTAGGGCTAAAAAAACCCTCAGAAATTTAATAAAAATCAAAACCAGATCACAGGTTAAACATGGAATTAAGGAACAACAGCAACATCTTATTTGTTCCTTGCCTAATAAAACATGCCAGTCGAAGATTTGAATTCCAATAAGATAACCAGAATAATTTCTTTTCCATTTGTAAGTCCAGGCATGACTGACCCAGTCAGATAAGAGCATTACTCAGTGCTTTATAAACTTTACCTCATTGATATTAGAACAGGAAAATGAGCAAGGACTGACATAACAAGAGATTAACGTGTCTATCAATGTGGGCAAAGGGAAGATAAGTCTTGATCTGCTTGTGAACAATTACCTTTGGCATTAGATTGGTTAAATAACACCCAGGCAGCATCACCTCCCACTTCTTGCTCCACTCCAGCTTCTCCCAGATAACTGCAATTTTTGCCCTCTCCCAGCACAGGTCATTATTTGATGCCACTCCCAGTAATTGGCCAAATTCTGCTCCCATGTGAGGCTTTAAATATCCAGGTCTGACCTTCATGACATTCCAAAAGTTTCCTCTGCAGGCCCTAATTAATAAGTGGTGTAAATTCTCCCTGAGATTCCACGTGGTTTTATTAGTGCTCAATAAAGAGTGAACAGAATTTCAAGTTATTCCCAGCCAGGCTGCCTTTGCTAAGGATGAGCAGCAATGCCCTGGAAATGAAACCTCTTTGAGGAAAATCTATTTATCAGTTCCCAGCAGCTGGGCAGCTACCTGGAGCTGCAGAGCACAGAGGAAGCCTGAGAGCAGCATTTCCTGCCAGCCTGCAAAATGCCTTGAGACAATTGAGCTCTGCAGTGAAGACAGCCAGAGAAGGACTGCAGAGCATCCTAATGAAGGAAAATCTCAGAGGCAATTACCCTGATTCAAACCCACAACAGACAGAGCACTTCTGGTTGAAAAAGCAGCTGTTTAGCTGGAAAAGAATACACAGAAATTTAGACTTTCTATGCAGACTGATTGAAAGGTTTGAGTAGAGAAGGGAAAACCACCCGGTTTTACAGCACAATTTAAAGATCAGATCTTACACACTGAGCAGAGCTCCAACAGTGCACAGCCCTCAGAAGACACTTCCCACAAGCATCAAACACACTGAGCCACACACACAGAGCAGCTCTTTTCCTAAAGCATCAGACACACTGAGCCACAAACACAGAGCAGCTCTTTCCTAAAGCATCAGACACACTGAGCCACAAACACAGAGCAGCTCTCTCCTAAAGCATCAAACACACTAAGCCACAAACACAGAGCAGTTCTTTCCTAAAGCATCAAGCACAATGAGCCACAAACACAGAGCAGCTCTTTCCTAAAGCATCAGACACACTGAGCCACAAACACAGAGCAGCTCTTTTCCTAAAGCATCAGACACACTGAGCCACAAACACAGAGCAGCTCTTTCCTAAAGCATCAGACACACTGAGCCACACACACAGAGCAGCTCCTTCCTAAAGCATCAGACACAATGAGCCACAAGCACAGAGCAGTTCTTTTCCTAAAGCATCAAGCACAATGAGCCACAAACACAGAGCAGCTCTTTCCTAAAGCATCAAGCACACTGAGCCACAAACACAGAACAGCTCTTTCCTAAAGCATCAGACACACTGAGCCACAAACACGGAGCAGCTCTCTCCTAAAGCATCAAACACACTGAGCCACAAACACAGAGCAGCTCTTTCCTAAAGCATCAGACACACTGAGCCACACACACAGAGCAGCTCTTTCCTAACCTTTCAAGGCTTTTACCTCCCTTCACCACGAGCCACCCCCTGTGCCCTCCAGCCTCACCCGTGTGTTCTCTTGCCTCCCAAGAACATTCCTACCAGCAAAGCAGGAGCTCTGAACAGGAATTCCATCTGCTGAGCAGCTTCCTCGTGGCTCTGCCCGTGTTTCAGGGACAGTCCCAGCATGAGGAAGGTGAGGAAGTGCTGCTGTGCCTCCCACAGGATCGAGACATGGCGCTGCCCCTGCCCACGGTTCAATATTTACAGCGGGTCCAAAGATCAGAAGTTCTACCCACCCTGCCCACACGGCAGGAGCCTTGCAATGACATCAGAAAGTTGGCTCCAAAGAGAGAATGGGTGTTTCTCACTGCTCTGAAACCCTCTGCAAGCACAAAGTTACTTTTTGCTGCCTCACACACAGGTTTTTAACACACAGCACTAAAGCTTTTGGAAAAGTCTGAAGAGTTGTCTCTACTGTTGACTGATAATTTTTTGGAGACTGTGAGCTCTGCAGACACCTCTTTTGACAAGCCATGAAACTTTGATTTGAGCCTGCTCTTAGTCAACACCCCACCTTCATTTTGAACCTTCCAAGGTGCATTTTTAGAATGAGATCGGAAAGTTGGCTCCAAAAAAAAGAATGGGTCTGAAACCATCTGCAAACACAAAGTCACTTTTTGCTGCCTCACACACACAGCACTAGAGCTCTGGCTTGAGCTTTTGTAAAAGTCTGAAGAATTGTCTCTACTCTTGACTGATTATTTTTTGGAGATTGGACCTGTTTTGACAAGCCACGAAACTTTGATTAGAGTCTGCTCTTAGTCAACACCCCACCTTCACTTTGAACCTTCCGAGGTGCGTTTTTAGAATCCCTCCTGGCCATATTTAAAAAGTATTGAAATCTGGTTGATTTTAGCAGCAAGGGCAAGAAGCAGGGGCCTCACCTGAATTCTTTGGTGCTTCCAAGGGCAGGTGAAGCTGACAGACTCCGTGACTTGGCGCGGCCCCGGCTGGTGCTGCCCCAGTCCTGGTCGCCGTGGCAGGCCGAGCACTGGTAGGCAGAGTCAGAGCTGCCATCAGCCTTGCTGGCACACAGCTTCTCCCGACTCATCTCCATGCTGGGACTGCAGGAACCTCAGCCAGACACAAATTCAAGCCCTGCAGGGGAGAGGAACAGGCAAAGCCTCAGTGTCTGCGAAGGGAACGGAGATTTCCCTCAAATTCCGATGGCGGCTGCGGCTGGCTCGAGGAAAAACAGAAATTTGTTATCACAACATGCTGAGCATCAAAAAAACCCTGCAGTAATCCTATAAGCAGGATGATTTAGGGCAGGGCATTGAACAGAAGAAGTTTGTTATGAAAGAACAGCTTACAAAGGTGGTCATTATAAAATAAAATTCAATCCCTTGGTGATTTGCTGCTCTTTCGGGGGATGTCCTGGGGTTGGATAAAGGTGGTTTGATGGAACCCTTGGGAAGGTGGAGTGCAATTAAAAATGGGAAACTGCAATCAAACTGGAGTTGTGCTCAACATCAAGAAGCTGCTGGAGTTGTCCAGATGAGCGCTGCTGCTGAGATGAGCTGGTGCTTTGAGCCATTTCCGTGCTTTCTGCAGAGCTCCTGCTCTGTGCTCAGCACTGCTCACCAAGGTGGAATTTTGCCAGGGCCCCCACAGTGGTTTTTATAATTGTTTTTCAGCAATTCAAGTGTTTTAAAGTCCCTGCAAGAAAATCTGGAGGAGCGTGTGATGCTAAACACAGTTTGCACACACTAATAAAGACCTCTCCAAAAAATCTGGGAGGTTCTTCAAGGTAATCAGAAGTTCCTGGAATTAAAAATGACCACTGTGTTCCCAGACTGAGAAGATGCCCAGCACAGATTTGTGCCTTCAGTTACACAAGAGATAAAATTAATTTCTTTTAGCTATTTAAAAGAAAGAAAAGCTTTAAGTATGTGCCAAGGAATCAAGGCACAGGAAAACTAAAGTCAAGGAAAACCATAAAGTCTCCAATGAGGGGATACATATATTGAATAGATAAAACAAAATACTCAAAGAAAAAAAACCAAAACCACCAACCCCTGTCAGATAATGCAACAGAAATAACCTTAATAAGCCCCAGCTTTTGAAATAAAAGAGGAGAGACAAAAACAAGCTGGAGGACAATACCTAAGTCCTTAACTCATTTCTGACAAACTGGGGAGATGATCCAAAACAAACAGGACAAAAGGAGGACAAATGTGCAGTATTTCAGTTCCACGAAGAACCAGCACAAATGAGAGATAAACAGCTGGTTAGAGCCCAGCTCTGTAGAAGTACAAAAACCAAAAACAAAAACCAAAAACCACAAAACCAAAACAAAACTCGAACTTGAAATAACTGCAGAAGTTGTAGAGATCTTGTAGGCAAGCTGTCATCATTACTTGAAGCAATAGAGAAGAAATCTTAGCAGAATAAAAATAGAAACCAACTTTCAGTGTATGAACAAACACCAAACCATAAACAAATGGTATCCATGAGAGTGCAGCACATTCCTCAGTTGATTCCAGCACCGGGGGGGAAATTTGGTTCAGTTAAAATCTGTTTTTCCCAATGGTTTCATCACTTTGGATGAAGCTCCCACCTCATCCTGCACAGAGAGAGAACCAAACATGGGTGCAAGGATGAACACGGAGTGTGGCTCTGGGAAATCATCACCCACCGAGGAGATCTGAGGGAAATCCCCCAGGGAATGGCAAAGCCCATGGTTTCACCAGAACCCCGCCCTGCAGCCAACAAAACCATCCACAAACACAGCTGCAATTTCAGACTCGTTATAAATTAGACAGCAGCACCACCGAATCAGATGAGAAAGTGCCCCTGCTGTAGCTGAGGCTTACCCGAGGAGAGCATCACTGCAATTAATGCCGGCCATTAATGATTTATAGCACCCTGCCCTTGAAAGGTATCAATGTTTAACTGGGGGTAACTCATTGCTGGGTCACCTCTGAGGGCCCCTGCTTGGGAAACAGCCATTGCAACAGAGCTGCAACTCTGTCCAGCTAAGATTAGCAAAATGCACCTCTGTTTTTAGGCAATTTGAGCTGGTACATAAATTTTGTGCCCATTAGTTGAGCAAAGGAGGCAGAGAATAATTTATGTAATAAACAAGGTGTGTTTCCACGTGACTTTGACTGAGGAATGTTCATCTGACAGATGCTGACAGTAAAGAAAATCAGATTAGCACAGAACTGGAAGTGAGAAGTGCACAGACATACTAAATACAGCCTAAGAACTTGATATTCCCTCCATGTAATACTTTCCAATTCAGGATGTTTTAACTGCAGCTTACACCATGTACTGTTTAATTAACATTCCCTCACAAGACCTTTATTGAATAAGCAGACTTGACATAAGACAAAACTGCCACTGAACAGCTTCCAGGATGGGATCCAAAAAAGCCTTTAAGCACATGGTAACAAACTAATGAAAAGGCTGCTCTGTTTTAAATCATGTCCAAAATAAAAACAACACAAGAAAAGCAACTATTTCAATGCCCAGCACTGCAGAATGAAGGACAACTGAGAAAGTGTCAACATTTAACAATAAATATCTGTGATGGTGACACAGCAGCCGGGTGAATCACCTCTCACACACATCCAACTCCAGTTTTATTGCAGTTTCCCATTTTTAATTTCACTCCGTGCTCCCCTGAACAAGAACTTCCCAAGGGTTTCATCAAACCACCTTTATCCAACCCCAGGACATCCCCCAAAGGAGCTGCAAAGCTGCAAAGGGATTGAATTTTATTTTATAACGGCCCTGCTTGTAAGCTGTTCTTTCATAACAAACTTTTCCTGTTCAATGCCCTGCCCTAAATCATCCTGGTTATAGGATTACTGTAGGGTCCATCCTGACAAAATCCTCACAGTGCTTTAACCCCACACCGAGTGATTTCTTAGAAATTATATCGGTAATTCGAAACTCATTTTGTACTTTATTATTGCCTTTCTCTTGGGGCATAAGAGGACAATGTTCTACCCAAACCTGCAGCTCTTGTCCCGTTGCTACAGAGCACTGTGTGCTTGATCGCTCTGCTCTGTGGAGCTTTCTTTTGTTGAGTTTTGCTGAATAAAGCGCTCCAGCAGAGGTTACATGCCTATGACTCCGTCCCCAGGCACTAAACCCCCTCTCACACACACAGAAAAATGAAGGAACAGGCAGACAGACATCACCAGACAGACAAAGCTCGGTTTAGTTCAGAACTTCATATCCCAGCGAGCCTGCAGAAAACCACAACCCCTAATAAAAGCCGGCAGCCTGGCAGCAGTAACAATTTTAGGTTTTGATTACACACCCAAATGCTATTTCCACCAAAACCCGGGCAGTTTGAGCATCACGTGTGCACGGCCCAGGCAAAACAAAACCATTTATTAACCCTTCATCTGCGGAATTCCCGCACGGACCGGGCACCCGAACCCAGGGTGGCAAACAGCAAATCCAGCCCTTGCTATAATGACAACACAGAGAAGGGGTTTTTTCTGTCCTGTAATTAAGTTCCACTCCCTAACAGATGGAAAATGGGAGAAAAAAACCCAGCATTCTAGGATGGAAAGATGGGAACAGGATCCACACACTGTCCTGGCCGTCACGAACTGCCCCAGGATGAGCTCGTTTCACCTCCTGAGATGTGCAGGGAGAGCAGCCCCGAGGCTCTTCCCTAAAAAGCCGGACTCCACCGCAAAATTCAGTCCCTAAAAACCTGAGATTCACCGCAAAATTCAGTCCCTTAAAACCTGGAATTCACCGCAAAATTCAGTCGGGAAGCGCTATCCTGCCTCAGGGGGCAACCAGCGGGGCTGGCCCGTGATCCAGCGCTGCGGGAAGGGGTCCCCGGCCTCGGGGCTGCCCAGCGGCTCCCCCGGAGCCACTGGGATGCGGGAATGCGGGCACTTGGGACACATGCGGGCACGGAGCGACCCGGCGGGGACAGACACGGGCAGGGGACACGGGGACACGCACTGGGGACGGGCATCAGGGGGACGCGCACCGGGGACACACACACGCGCACCGGGGCCACCCGCACCGCTCTCCCCTCAGGACCCCGCGGGCTGCCCCGCGCGGCTCCCCCGGGGCCCCGACTCACGGCGTGGCTCAGGGCCGGGCCCCGCGGCGCTGCTGGCGGCGCTGGGCGCTGTGAGGGGCGCGGGGCCGGCGGGCCCTGCGCGCCTCCATCGTCCCCTCCCCGCCGCCCCCGCGCAGGCGCGGTTCGGCCGCGGGCCCGGCGCGCAGGCGCGGGCGGTGCGGCTGCGCGGGGCCGCCTGTGGCCCGCGAGGTGATTAGCGATAATTAGCGATAATTAGCGGTCATTAAGCGCGGGGGAGCTGGGTGGGCTGTGGGTGTGTAGCAGCCGGGATTGCATCGGGTTATACCCGCGTTGGAGGTGCCAGCGGGGGATATGGGCAGCGGACGCGTTCAGCCAGCCCACAGCCCTCACAGCACCCCGCAGTTACACCTTCAAATATCGGCCATGCCATCCCTCCAGCCATCCACAGCCCTCACAGCACCCCGCAGTTACACCTTCAAATATCGGCCATGCCATCCCTCCAGCCATCCACAGCACCCCACAACCCCCGGACTGTTAACACCTTAAAATTCCGGCCATCCCACACCTTCACCTCCAGCCATCCCATCCCTCACACCATCCCACAGCCTCCCGCCATACACCTCCAAATTCCGGCCATCCCATCCCTCCGACCACCCCACACCCCCCAAACACCTCCAATTTCCAACCATCTCACACCTCTGGCTATCCCTCCTCTCCCGCTATCCCACCATCCCACACCTTCAGCAATCCCTCACTTCCCACCTCCAACCATCTCAACCCTCCAAACATCCCATCTCCCACCATCCCACCATCCCATCTTCCACCCTCTGATCATCCCACACTTCCCCACCTCCACCATCCCATCCCACACCTCCAACCATCCCATCCCATCTGAGAAGAATGGTGGATTTTTCTTTCCAAACCAGCTGCGGGGCTGCTGGTGGATAAAAGAAACAATGGGAAGGATTCCACTGATTGATGAATGGAAAGAGATATTTGCTTTTAGAAATAAACTTTAGGTTTGCTGATAAACGAAATTAGACATTGAGAGGTGAAAGAAACAATGGGGAAGCAAAACCCCTAAATTCAGTAAGAATTAAAAATTAAAAGGGAAGGTTGTACATTAGAGGGAAATCTTTGGGATCAGGTGTTTTGGGAAGTCTGAACCTCTCAAGTACCTCAGAAATGGGGAAAGAGAGAAGGGAAATGTGGCTGGGAAATTGGATAAAAAGGAGGCTGCATCCTCCAAAAATTGGAGAGACCCCAGGGGAATACCCCATGGCCTCTGCCTTTATTGGAATAAAGCCAGAAAGGGCCCCTCTGTCTCCTTTTTGGACATAAACCTCTGGTGTTTGTGGATTAATTTTCCTAACACATCCCATCCCATTTGCCCTCCCACCATCCCATCCCTCCGAGCCCCCCATCCCACTCCCATTTCCATTTATCTCACCTCCTCCATGCCCTCTCAGCTCGGGCACACACTGAACCATCCCCTGCTCTCCCCCTGCCTTTTCCCTGCGGCTCCCACCACGCCCTTGGCCAAGGGTGTGGCTGTTGGCACATCCCTCACACCCTGCTCGCATCTCCCGTCACCAACTTTTACCTTAATCTGCCCTTTCATCACCTGGGAAATGCCCTTTGTGACACAAAACTGCTCGGCAGCCCACACCGCTTTGTGAGGATCGCTCCTCTCAAAGACAAAGTGGCGAAGTGTAAAGAAAACATTCTCCATACTTGAACTCAAAAAACAATAAAAGGTTTTGGTACCTCAAAATCCTCAGGAGCTTTGTCACAACTTCAACAGAGGGAGGATCAAGCGCCTGGGTGGATGCCAGCAAGAAAACAAATCTTCAGTTACCAAACCGATCAGGTTTTGTAATTTCAAAATTGCATCTTCTGCTTTAAGGAGGCCACACTCGTGGGATAAATCACACCAGGATGAACTCACACAGTAAGAGCAAATTACACAAATTACATCATAAGAGAATGTGGCACTCGGGGATTTTTTTTTCTTTCTTCTTCCTTTATGTAGTAATTTGTTTTTGGGGAACCAGGGAGCTGTAAATAACTGATGGTCAGTAAAGGCTGAAACAAACTTGAAAAAGAGGAAGCTGTTGCTAGATGTGGGAAAATACCACTGGCCATGTTACACCACTCTTGAAAGTACAGGACTTGGAGGCAAAACTTCTCTCTAGCCCTTCATCCAGTGTGCAAGGAATTAAGGCAGAATTCACAGCTTTGAGGGGTTAATGAGATCTCAGAGCCCCAAATGCCTTTAATGTGCTGAAAGGGATTCTCAAAGTGCAAAGGGACACCCGGACATGACACTGGGCAGGAATTCAGCTTTAGGGAGTCAAAGCATTGCCCTGAAACCTGCAGTGAAAAACCATCCCAGGAGAGACGCTTGGACACAGCAGCCACCGCTCACTGAGCAGGGCTGGCTCCTGGGATGGGCTTTTCCAAACTCAGCAGGGTGAAAGTGATAAATCCCCGCCGTGACAAACACCAATCGCCCGTTGCTGTTATCTCCGTGCAAAGAACTTCTTGATAATCTCCTCCCTTTCTTGAGTTAGTTAAAAAGTACCTTACACAGCACCGTTTCTATTTTAACCTTATGTTATAACCTAAAACTATATTCACCACGCTACAGAAGAGAACTAACACAGCATAACTTTCTAACATAACACACACAATATTCACTTCAATATTTGTGAAAAGCCAGTCATAAAACACGCATTTTTCACAGCCACGCCAATTTACATTGGCCGCTCCAACACAAACCCTTCAAGAGGCAGCCGCTCCTCCCACAGCACAGCCACTGCCCTGCTGTTGCTCAACATTTTGTAAGAGGCCTGAACCCTGCAGCAGGAGCGGCTCTTATCCCTGTAATTGGTGGAGATAAGGCTGCTAAGCAGCTGAGCCTGTCCTATTTATAAAGGGCCGCTGTTAAAGCAGCGGCTCCGAGCTGGGCAGGTTCAGCAGCGACCTTGGGGCTCTGCTGGGATGAGCGTCCCGGGCTGTGGCAGCTCCTCCATCCCCGGAGTGCAGACACGGGACAAACAGGAGGGGCTTAGGAGCCTTTTGTGAAAAACGCCAATCACTTGTTTTTAAAAATTTTAAAAGATTAATGGTGATAAAATGGTTCTAAAAATAGTAATACAATTAGAGTAGTAATAATTTGGACAAATTGAATTTTGGACAATGTGAGACAATAAAGAAAAAGAGTTACGGATATCCGGGTACCTTTTCTGGGCAGCACAAGCCCGGAAAAGGACCCCCGTTAACAAAGGGTTAACCCTTAAAAACAACAGCCTGTTGCATATTCATAGACCTCATTAGTGATGCATAAATTCCATTCAAACACAGGATTCTGTCTGGTCATGGTCAACTTCTTCCTCTGAATCCTGACAGTGCCTTCAAGGCAAGAAGAAGTTCGTTTCTTCTGATAAGAGAGAAATAAATTATTTTTTCTGAAAGTTTAAGGTGTCCTGTGGCTGCTGAGTCCTTTCTTTAAAAAAAGTATCCTACATAGCATCGTTTCTATTTTAACATTTTTTATAACCTAAAACTCTATTTAACACACTGCTCAAGAGAATCAATACAGCATTACTTTCTAACACAACACATATAATATTCATTTTAATATTTGTGAAAAGCCAATCACAAAATACACATTTTTCACACTTTTAAACATTTCCTCCCTGGCACCATGAGCAGAAGGCTCTGAGCCAGGTTGTGCTTCCTTTCTCTCAGGGAAGGAAACAAAGAGAAATGTTGGCAGGAACTTGAGAAATGAACATAAAAAATTCTGCTTTTTTTTTCCCACTGGGGTTCTCAGTTCCTAGAAATAACAGAAAAGATAATTTGCCAAAAATGCTGTTGTTTGACAACTTGCACAGATGTGCCTGGTACAGAACCTCCACCTACACCCCAAACCTTCCTCCAGCAAGGAGGCATTTCCACTCAGCAGGAACCAATTAGCAAATCGTCTCTATTAACACCTAGCAGGGTGGAAGAACACAGTTCTTACCTCTCAACCCTCATTTCAAACAGCCTCAGATGACTCAGAATTCCTGAGGGATCACGAGAAGTTAAAAAGTACCACAAAGGCTGAATTCTGCTGGAGATGGAGGCACGTGAATGTGACAAATAAATGATTTCTCAATGCTCACACACTGACACAGAGACGGGGAAATGCTTTTCATTATTCAGGCTGATTACCAACACCTCCAATCGTTATGTAAATGTCACTGTCCCACTTTTGAGGCTGAGCTACATTAATTGACTTGCATAAGGGTTAATAAATCTGAGTGATTGGGAATGTTGGCCTGATAGCCAAACTCCATCCCCAGATCATCCCTGACAGTGTCAGGGTAGGACTGAGAACTGCTGGCAGCCAGGAAAAGTTAGGTGAGAGAAATGGAGGGATTTTAAAAAAGTCTAACATGAAGAGGAATATCAAAATCTGCAGCCAGGAAAGCAAAGTTAGGTTATAAAAGTGGAGGGATTTTAAAAAAGTCTAACAAGAAGAGGAATATCAAAATCTGCAGCCAGGAAAGGAAAGTCAGGTGAGAAAAGTGGAGGGGTTTTTAAAAAAAATCTAACAAGAAGAGGAATATCAAAATCTGCAGCCAGGAAAGCAAAGTCAGGTGAGAGATTTTGGAGAAGTCTAATATGAAGAAGAAAATCAAAATCTGCAGCCAGGAAAGGAAAGTCAGGTGATAAAAGTGGAGGGATTTTAAAAAAGTCTAACATGAAGAGGAATACCAAAATCTGCAGCCAGGAAAGGAAAGTCAGTGAGAAAAGTGGAGGGATTTTAAAAAAGTCTAACATGAAGAGGAATATCCACATCTGCAGCCAGGAAAGCAAAGTTAGGTGAGAGATTTTGGAGAAGTCTAATATGAAGAAGAAAATCAAAATCTGCAGCCAGGAAAGGAAAGTCAGGTGAGAAAAGTGGAGGGATTTTAAAAAAGTCTAACATGAAGAGGAATACCAAAATCTGCAGCCAGGAAAGGAAAGTCAGGTGAGAAAAGTGGAAGGGTTTTTTAAAAAATCTAACAAGAAGAGGAATATCCAAATCTGCAGCCAGGACTTACCTCCTGTCTCGAAGCAGGATGTGGAGGAGAGATT